CCAAAGCTAGAGGCTTCTTGGTCGATTGCTTCCTACAAACGGTGCAAATGCTGATCTAACAGGTTCAAAGTAAGAGTTTATCCGTAGGGTAACTGTTGTGTACTCGCGTAGACGATTGCTGGGATTGGCAACACAAAAAAAATTTTACCCACTTAGGAGCAGACGAGACGAGTCTAAGTCATCGATGTCATTTAACGAAAAGTAAAGGAGAGGAGCTGTTCCGACAAGTTCAGGGAAGCGGAAGGGTAGGGTGAGCAGGCTTTTAAGAGCATGCAAAGTAGTGGTTGGTGTCGTGCGGTATCTCATTGCACGCAGGACATACCTTGGGTATGTCAGGGTCAAGTATGAAAAGGTAGAAATTAAGTCGCCTACATTATCAAGATCTTAAAAGATTGTATCAGTATTACTTGATCTACACTTCGTCTGTAGTAGGTCGTGCTGGATTCTGACCGAACTCCTTTCACTGCAAGCGAGTTCATGAAGCTGTTGACGGACTCTGTCGGTACACCATCCTTTGCAGTGGTTCTAGTTCTAGTATATTACTCTGAAGGAATAATGTATACTTGAGTACTCCCTTCCTGATCTGTGTGGGTGGAGGTTCTGCAGATATTCTTTGCTCCTTAACTTGTAGCATAGCTCATGCGCCGATGACATCACTGTCTTGTAACTTCCTCATATGTGTCTCTCATATGCAGTCGTATGCGGAGTTTAAGCTTTCAAATGTAACTCCTAGTTGTTGTTGTAACCGCGAAAAAATTCCTCGAACTAGTTTTCGGGTAATATACCGAGTCGGTTTGGTACAAAGACCCGACTGTCGCGGGAACTATTGTATTTTAGTCGCCTCTTTACGACAGGTATGCCCTACCACGGGTAAATCTCTGAGCTACTAACTCGCAGTGGCGTTTGACTCCCAGTAATTTTGGGTTGTTAGTTTTTGGAATTTTAAGCCTATCGACTTTCATATCTAATTCAAACCGGTACTCCTTCGTCCAGTTGGTAAAAGGGACAACCGAGGATTTCGCAGATTGTTGTAAATGTCGTGAAGTGGAGAAGTAAGAAATGTCGGCGAGATAGCAGTTTTTTTTTGAACATAAGTTATCAATATCCTACCTAGACAGTAATATCGAGGAGTGATCAGCATATGAGATCAATGAAACGCTCTCCGGTGTAGCAGGAAACTTCGAAATGTAAAAATTAAACGGGAAGGGGGTACAACTCTGCAGAATTCATTGCATAATTTTATGGAGTTCATAAGTTTGAGCTTGAAGCTCTACGGATGACTGTTGACCAGTCAGGCGAACCAAATTTCAAGCTATTCTAGCCCGGCGGTAATAAGAAAACCTCTATGTTTCATAGTTGCACTGAATGGTTGACGGTGTCAAGTGCTTTTCCAAGATCCAGTGCTACCGCCACAAATTGCCCACAATGCCGGTTTTGATTAAGACCATGGCAACGAAATGGGTGTTAAGTTAAGTATGGTTGTGGTGCAGTGTACATTTCGGAAGCCAAGCGGACGCGTTGCTGGGCTTAGATGGTGTGAGAAAAAGGGGAGTAGGAATGCCTCAATTGTCTACACTACAAGTTTCCACGAATCGCTCCAACTATTTTCCACGATGTAGAGTTTTACTTCTTCCCATTTATTGCTGAGCTTTGAGTTCAGAGAATACAAAAGTAACGTGGAAGGCCAAAGTAATGATCGGAGCGGCAACATGTGCCTTTCCACTTCTACCATTACCTTGACTAACAAATTAAATAACTGATTAGACGAAAATAAGTCATTTATTTTCCAAACCAAATTTTATAGGCTGCGATAAAAAATGCAAACAACCATATTCCTTTTATCTGTTGTCCGACCTTGTGGCTCACTTTAAAGCTCTTCAAACATTTTAGGCAGCAGCAGCTGTTCATCGTTTGAAAAGATATGATCCTGTTATTGTAAAATGATGAAAACTGATTAGGATTTTTTATTTTTATCGGATGTAGAATCGAAGGCGTATGTCTGTTATATGAAAGGGCTTGAGTAAGTCCCATTTGCGAAGAAGACAACAGATCGAAAAGTAGACAAACACAAAGCATTGTACGCAAAAATTATTTCTTGTTTCTATTCTATGCCCGCTAAAAATTAACCTTCACTTGATACGTAAATAAGCCAAATATAATATTTAAAAAAGATTTAAAAAATTATAATATCTTCTAAGAAATAGTGATAGCCAGTTTTTACAATTATAATCATCATAAAAAAAAACTCGGAAGAAACTTTTATCACCAAGTGGCATAATAAAATTTTATTAGACGTTGTCAATCGTTGTATTTATATTATCTCATTTTGTATATAAATGTTTACACCAATTTTTAAAAAACCATCCGTTGTTCATAATAACGTCAGAATAAAAATCCAGAAACGCCTGAGATCAAATTTTATTTTTTCTTTTCATGTACATGAAATTTTTTATTAACTTTGGTCTAAAGTATGTAAGCACCAGAAAGAAAAGAGCAAGAGCTACCAAAACTTTAACGATCTGATCAGAATGACAATCCTAAAATGAAATGCCATAAATTTAATATGACCATGAAAGGTATAAAGACTACGACCTAAGACATCTCTCCTTTTTTGTATAATAAATAAATTAACAGTTTTATCGGCGCCTTGCCAGAAGAGTGGTAGATGCCACAAAAATGATGTTCAGTAAAAAGTGTGCTTCGAAGCCTTCGGCAGCCCGTCAGTCCATCTTAGCATTTGTTGGTGCCCTTCAGGTGGAACATAATGAATTATTTATAGGCAACGGAGCAGTAGTTACTTATTTTTTTTTTTATTAAATGATAAACCGTTATTTGTAGTTTGTGCGTAGATGGTTTAGAAAGAGATAGAAGACCAATATACCCGCTAGTAACCGCACCTCGGGAGTATGCCATGCCATAGAGGCTCCAATACAGCTCTCTCTCTCCATATTTTGGATGTGGCAAAAGGTTTCGCTCGAGTTGATTATCGTTTTTTGTACAAGGGCCACCCACGTTGACCACAGTACTGCAATTATAAACGGATAACTAGATGCAAGAGAGGGTGAAATGTACCAAGCAGCCTACCCAAGAGCTCAAACAAGGTTTTAGATGGATAAATGAATAGTCTGGCGCTCGCGAGGGTCGAGTAGTTAGCAGTGCGTACTGTTATTTGAAAGACTAGAGTTTGAGTGCTGGTCCGACCAACTTTCAAATAATAAAAAATTTGGTTTTCCTAATAACGGTAGCTTCTCGGTAGGAAATGTCAAGCCCCTCAAAACCTCTCATAAAAAAAAACAATCAGTTATTCGAAGGCATTCGGCTTATAGTCGACTGTAAGTCCCTCCAATTGTTGATAAGCCATCAAATTGCATGCCACAAATCGAAGGAGGAACGCGGTGGCCACTTGGCATAACAAAGGCGCAACTACTACGCACCAGGAAATTTATCTTGTAATAGAGTCAAATTCGCTCGTTTTGTGTATCATTTAATAGTTTTCTGTTAAAACCTCATGTTGTTCAAGTCGTGTTCTACAATTTAAGATCGAAAAAATTGACAGTGACAGTCTTTTCAAAAAAAGTAAAGTCCGATCACAGTTTTAGACCAAAGACAGAAAGTTTTTTGGTATATCTCAATTATTTGAGGTATCTCGTAGTCCCTACTCCGACAAATTTGCTTATTTCGTACCCCCGCCCTGTACTTTTAAAGCCACGAAATGGTTAATCCTTTATGGAACTAGATAACTAAATTTCGTAAGATTATATAAGATTAGTAACATGCACGGTGTGTCCCAAAAATAACCGAACTTTTTGGATATAAAAAAAATACACATTATACTATCTTTGAAAGTTATTATTTATTCAAAATAGGTTCCATTTGACTTAACACAACGTTTGGAACGATCAACCAGCGCATGCATAGATTTTTTTATGTCATTTATAGAAATGTTCCTCAGTACCTCGGTTACGGCTGCTTGAATGGCTGGGATATCATCATAAAATGCTCCCTTAATCTTGGTTTTAATTTTTGAAAATAAAAAATAGTCACATGGTGATAGATCAGGCGAATACGGAGGATGGTCGATGAGAGAATTTCCTTTTTTCATTAAAAATTCGAGCGATTTTTTGGTCGTCATTTAATTCATGGAACAAATCGCGCACAGACCTCTCTTTACCCCAAATCTTCAGTTAAAATTCTCCAAATAGTGTTTTTTCTCGTATTCAATTTCTCAGCCAACATTCTCGTAGTAAAATTTGCATCGATACCATTGATTTCACGGACTTTTTCCATCAGTTCAGCACGATTACTGGTTTCTGGACGTCCTGCTCTAGGGTCGTCATTTAAATCCTCACGACCATTTTTAAATCGTGTAAACCACGTAAAAACTTGCGTACGACTCATACAATCATCACAATAAACTTTTTTCATTAATTTTTTTTTCAAGTTTGACACAAAATTTTATATTTGCTCTTTGTTCCATTTTTTTTTTTTTTTGAATTATTAGCACACTTTTGGTTTTATTGAAATGGCTGTCACTTTTACATCCGTCATCCGACTTACATGATGTTAGGTGCGCTTGAAAGAGGATGAATGTATCTTTTTAATGTTGCAAATTTTCAATAGATGGCGCTGTATGTTGTATGATTTAAATATAAAGTTCGGTTATTTTTGAGACACACTGTACATATATACATTGCACTTTTCTTCCGCATCTCATTTTACTTATTTGTACATACAAATATACATAGTAATTAAGTGAAATATAAAATTTATGATCTATTAGTAGGCTTTTTTTCAACAGAAATCATACTATACAACAAGTACCAAATTAAAACCAAAAAAAATAACCGTTGAATAGATTCTTGTAACCTGTGTGAATATGTATGTATGTACATACATTTATATTTAACAAATAAATTAAATCATAAAGATAAATGTCGAACAAGATTTTATGGATGATTTGTTAGATATAAATAGGATGAGATTTCCTCAATTTAGTACAGTCACGTACGAATCACACGGAGTGTAGAATTTTGTGTTGTGAAGGAAATTTTAAATATAAAAAATACATTAATTTCAACATTTAAAAATATATATATATGAAAATGTTGAGCAAAGTAAGTGCTAGTGAAAAATATTGTCCATAAAAAAAAGGTTATCATAGCTATTTCTCTAGCAACATACAACAAGGAGTGCATAGAAAGGCTTTTCGTGTTCAACTTTAGTGCTATGTGTAGATACTCCCGGTAGCCGAAAGCCATGTGACGTTGAGCTTTTGTTGGAGTGAACTAAAGGACGATAATTTTTTTACTCCCAGCTTTCAAAACCGCCTAAATTTCTATGAAGCAGAAACACTAAGGAACGCAAGCCTACAGTCGGAGTGAACGGAAACGAAACGTTTTCGATTCAAACAACTTATTTTTATTTTTATTTGAATTTAGATTCGTTTGCTTTCTTAAAGCCTAAGTTAAATTACCAAACGCAGTGGAGATCTTCCTTCATTCAGGAGGCAAGACCCAGCCAGCGAAACCGCTGTCTCTTCATTTGCTGAACTAAATCAATGTCGCCGTATACCATTGCGCAAAGGACCATAAATCTCAGGCAAAGTCTTTCTCTCGAAGACTCCCAAAGCCGATCCATCAGCTGTTGACATCGTCCATGCTTCTGCACCATATAGCAGGACTGGAACTATGAGGGACTTGTAGAGTTTGGTTTTCGTTCGCCGAGAGAGGACTTAACTTTTCAATTGCCTACTCAGTCCAAAGTGGCAGCTGTTGGCAAGATTGATTCTGCGTTGGATTACCAGACTGACATTGTTGTTGATAGCCGAGACTCGCTTGCGATGCCTGTTTGTTTGATGACAGCAGATATTTCATACCTCGTTCACCACCAGACCCATATCCTTCGCTTTCTCATCCAGTCTGGAGAAAGCAGAACTAACGACGCGGTAGTTGATGATGCCAATATCATTGGCGTACGCCAGCAACTGTACACTCTTGTAGAAGATTGTACCTTTCTATTCAGCTCTGCAGCTCTTATTTTCTCCAGCGATTCTGTAAAAAAAGTCACACACTAAGGAATTACCTTGTCTGAAACCTTGTTTCGTATCAAACGGCTAGGAGAGATACTTACCGATCCTGACAGAGCTTTAAGTTTTGCGGTGATACCAAATTCAGACATAGAGCCGTTGAGGCAGCTTCTTTTCGTGCTCCCAAAGACTGCTTTTAAATACACGAAGCGGTGGTATGTGCGGATTCTCTATTTACGGACCTTTTAAGCGATATTAAATAGGCTTATCCCCCTTTAATGGGCGCAGACCACGGGATCGCCCTCTCTGTGGATTTTGCAAAACACACTAAGGTTCAAAGTTCCAGTTCCGTATTTGAATAGCTCGGGATTATATATAGCATTTTGTTACCACTAAGAAGATTTTTGGCCAAGCTACTCATCCAATTTGTGATATGCGCTTATGCTACGTGACCTTCGAATAGCTGAGGGATTTTTATTAGTAGCTTTTATTTCAGATCGGAAATACACATGGATGGGTCGCCATTCCCTGCCGAGGGGTGATTATAATTAGAGAAATTAATTTTCTATATTTTACAAATGCCATTGCGCATTCGACTAAGGCGGTCAAAAGGTTTAAGTGTCTTTTTGCATAAATTGAAATAACTGAGTCCGCCAAAGGCCATAGGTGATATCCATCGTTTTATTTCATATTGTAATTTTTATTGGGCTCATTAACTGCGAAATCGGAATCTTTACTAAAAAATACTATTTTCCTTCCACAGTTATTAACATTGTGCATAGTTCTTGCTGTGGCGCCGTTGATTCCTGTTGATGCCGCAGATCAATGCGGGGAATGTATGGAGTCAAATTTTGTGCAGTGCATCAATGAGACCAGCTACATAATTTGCTACGAGGAGACGGCGACAAGTAAGTGTTTTCTCTTTTCTAGACATGTATTTTCAATAATAATAATTTCCTATGTATTTACAGTGGCGCCAATAGATGAGGAAGTTTACAATTGCCCAGCCAATCAGTTCTGTACAAATTCAGTAAATGTATGTGAGTCAAATCCGGATGGCGAGAATATTATATCAGTTTGTTCCAGTGGGACAAATTCGGCATGCAGCAGTTGTACTGGCAAGGCAAATGGAGCTCTAATTTGCCTTAGCTCAACGCAATTTGCTATATGCAGATCAAACGTAGCTTCTAATCCTCTATCATGCAATGCTGGACAGTTGTGCAGTGAGGAACTGGTTTCCAAGCAGGGTTTGAAAAAAGTGTGTGCGCCACAATCTGTACTTGATTACGTAAGTAGATTCAATGGCTTATTTTTTGAAAATTACGGAAGCAAGTATTTACAGTTCGAACTGACTTCGTGCAACATTGAGGAAACAGTAACACCACAACCTACTAGCCCAGCGACACCGTCAACTACCGTCAATCCATTAACTGAATGTGAGAATGCGGGATTGTCTAGTGCTTATTTCCAAATACCATATCCCGACTTTTGTAAAAGGTAAGTGACAAGTGCTGGTTTTGAGGGATTAAAAGAGTTTTTCAAAATTCGGTCATGGGCATTGTAACATAGATTGTTAGATGATCTTTGAGACTTTAGTGTGGTGACAGACATAGGAATATAATATGGGAATCAATTCAAGACTGCTTCGCGATTAACTTGGACGTTTCACAGCCTATAAATCATTGGTTCCAGAAATTTCTTCCTCGGCAGGTAATAGTAAGTCCAGCGTGTATATTTCTGACACGAAAATCAAAGCTTCTCATATAAATCCATCAACCGTTCGGTAGCGGCTTAGTATGAACTGTAAGTCCCTGCATTTGTTGGAAAAACATTGAGGCTCACACTAGAAATTGGAGGAGTAGTTCGGCCGAAAATCGCTTCCGCAGTTACAAAGACCAAATTCAAAAGAAATTGTTAGGTTAGGTTACACTTGTCGGCTGACACATAGGCGGAGGTTAGTTTTATTGCGATCTAAGGTAGTCGTCGAACAGGAAGTGAACGCTTTTCGCGATGTTCAAGATAGTTATAATATCAAATTTTTAAGCATACTCTTACCCTTGTGAAGCTCCGAGAAATCTAAGCAAAACAGAAACAGAGGAGGTGCTCTAATGCCACACTCATGCCTTGCTCCCTGCTCTTCGCAGTTGTGTCACTGCTACTAATATCCAATATGCTTGCATGGTGGTCCAGTAGATTTTGGGCAGTCAGATTTCTACAGATTATTTCGAAATTAAAGGGTGATCCATTTCGAGGTCGCCGAAATCACGAGCTTCAATTTCAGGCATCAAATAGCGCTATAACGGTCACTATTGGGGGTTGTAAGTTTTAAAGAAATATGGATCGATGATTCCACTGGCTCCCAAACCACACCAAACGGTTATTTTTTCTAGTTAAAAAGACAGCTCTAAAACCTCTTGAGGTTGCTCTTCGTTCCAAATGTGGCAATTTTGCTTGTTTACACAACCATTGAGCCAGAAATAATCACTGGCTCGAAAACTTCTGATCTTCTTTGAACTTTTCAAGAGCCCATAGAACGAATCGATGGTGTTTTAGAAGGTCAAATGGCTTCAGTTCTTGCACAAGTTCTTTTCTTTACGCTTTCCATTTATGACCTCGAAGTAAGTCGGTGCATACGTCAGTCCGAGTTGCTGCAAACGGCGACTCTCCACGTCTTCGTGTACACTCTCAACCGGCCGGCCGCTATATTTTCTTCATTGTGTGCTGAACGTGGTCTATTCGGTCGAATGTTATCCACTAATGAATGCTGGGTCACAAGATGGGTGTTGGTGTTGGTGTTCGTTGTTCAGGCGTAAGTCTTTCCATGATGAAATGCCACACATAATATGATAGATGCGTGTTCTGTCAAAAGGTTATTGAAAAAAGTACCTCTGAATGGATCACCTGTTATTTATGCAATACATACATACATAATATTGATGTAATGGTTTACTTTGGTTATGGGTATTTTTCGAATTAAATTTTTATAATATAATTTATATTTATCTCCATTTTCTTTAGCTACATTTACTGTGAACGCAATGGCAGCACTTACATTTCATTGGTCATGAACTGTAAATCAGGACAATTTTACAGTGAAGCGCAGAAAACATGCATTACAGCCACAAGTTGTCCACAATAATACAAAAATTTAAAAAAAAAAAAAAAAAACAATTAAAAATTCAATGCCTCCATTGTAAACGAAAAGTGTTAAGCGTTCAATTAAAGAACAAATAAAATATATTTAATATTCATACTTACATACGTGTACTCTATGTACTATACTGTACACATATGAATGAGTTTAAATAAAATGTGTTTTTAGATTTTGGAAGATTAAGAAGAAATTTTGTTTTAGTTTTTGCTGAAGCAATGAAGAACCTTCTAGAGCGGTCCACAGTTAGGGTAAGCGTGGTAGTAACCGGACAGTTTCAGGCTTTCGCAGCAGAAATTAATTTACAATCTCATAGAGAGTTTATTTTTTATGTAATTTCCTGACCACCTTTTTTAAAAGAATTCACTGAGTTCACCGAGGGAGAAGTGTGTAATTTTCTTTTTTTTGTTAGTGGCAGAGAGATTTTTAAATGTGGAATTATAAGTTATTATTAATGGAAATGGGGTGGGTAGTTTTTAGTTTTATTATTAATTCATGTATAATTAATGCGGAATACATTTTTTTTTTGAAAAAAATCACAAAATGCCCGAAACGAAATTGGCTGCTGCAGGTAATTTGGGACGGTGGGCATCTACTTCACACCCCCTGCGGGTGAGAAGCTTTATAATTTACACGTGGTAAGTCATGCCTGTCGTAAGAGGCGACCAAATCCAATAGTTCCCGCGACAATCGGGTCTTTATACCGGTACGACGCGGACTTTTATCCGGCTAAGGAGTGACACTACCCGAATTGGTTTTCGGGGAATATTTTGCTTTTACAACAACAACAACAATATGTACATACTTCTTACTTGAAAGGTCGTGCTGAACTACTATTTATAGAAATAATCTTATTTAAGATGTGGCAAGGATCTACTGTCTCACTGGAAATGTAGTTGCGAGGATCTACTTCTCTATCTTTAGGATCCCTACGAAGCTGGATGTTTGTGATAAATATGAAACGAACTCCAATTTATTTTTATATCCTTTTGAAGGATCCTGACCACTGGTGAAGGAGCTTCAGAGATAAGTCGAAGCTCACCATAAATCCGCTGCTTAATAATTTTTGAAATATTTATGTTGCAATGCAATAAATATATATTTATATATACATGTATTTATTAATTTTTAAGAAACTCTAATAATTTCCAATAAAAATAAACTGTTAAATCGATGTTCGCTTACTGAGAGTTCTCTCACTAATACAAATACGATTAATTTTATAACTTTATCTTCAACAAAAAAAAATTTAATTATTTTTATTATAAAATAACCTTTCTTAGACGATTTAGAATTAATTAAATATTCTGAAATGATAGTAACAAAGGAAATTGAGCACGAAGTTAAAAAAAAATTTAATCCTCTAGCAATTAGCGCATTTACACAATGTTTATTTTTTTAATTTTCACATTCATATTAAGGCCTACATCAAAAGGTCAAAATTCTTTACATCCATTTTGCATAATTCACAGACATTCTTTTAAACCATAGCATATAGATGTATGTATGGATGTATGTATGTGCCACATTTGTTTATTAAAGGAAATCAACTATAACGGCACTTTGGCACGTTTTTCAAAAGTTCGCATACATACAGGCATATTTGCGTACCTACCTACCTACATCTATGTATATGTACATACAGACTTATTTTAGCATATACCGAAAATTATTACGGTATTTTAGATAATTTGTTTAAAGCCAGATTATAAGACGCATACACGCACACATATAAGTAATTTAGATATCACGCATAAGATAGTACTGGCTTAGGAATTTGGCAATGTTATTCGAAGATAAACGCTACAACTTAATCTTCTGGAATTTTATAAAAAGCTAAAGCTCATAAGCGTACGCAAATTAGTCGCGTTTAAACCATATTTCCGTGATATTTCTTAAGAACTCAATTAACAAAATGTGTAAAAAACATCAGATATTTGTAAGCAATACAACATACCTGAAATATACATATATATTTTTACATTAACACTTATTTCATTTAAATCCAATTAAGCTAACAATATTTATCCTTTCGCTGAGTCTTTGGTACGTCAGCGGTCAGCAGTGTAACGTTTGTCAGAGTAATAGTGCTGCTTGTATAAATGAAACATCTTTTTATCTGTGCTATGGAGGTACGTAAATATATATGCTACTTAAATACCCCATAGTTAATGGTTCGATAATAAAAGAAAAATATTAACACTCGCCGCAGGTAACGTGCCTATAACAGATCAAATATTTCATTGCGCGGATGGCCTTATCTGCTCGGATCAACCAAATATTTGTTTTCAGAGCAATGGTGCTACCGTCAGTTGTGGAGACACTTCCAGTTGTGGTTTATGCAATGAAAATCAGGTGTTCGCATGTACGAGTCGGAATACATTCGCTTTTTGTTTCGGTGCAACGCGTCCGACTGATGTGACTGGTCAGTGTCCGACAGGACGTTTATGTGATGCATCTACGCAGAACATATGCGTTACAGAAGTGAAGGTATTCATCGATTTTCTTCCTTATTTCAATTATAAATAAAATATGTGTATTTGTATTTTATTTAAAATTTTTATTTATTCTTAAATACTGTATTTTAAGTCGACATCAATTATATGCAACTTGGAGACTCCGGTAGCAACAACATACGATGATGATACATTAACCCTTTAAATATGTTCTAATACATTACATTTAAATATATAAATTATCAGTAGAAAAAAATGATTTTTTTAAATAAATTAAGCACTCCTAATAAATATGGGTAATGAACTTATTTTAGGTGAAAATTTCAAAGATCTTCGTCATCCTCATTGCCATTCGTTACGTCTGCAAGCCATTTTCGCACTTCACTCAAAGCTGGTAAACGAAATCGCCACTCATCATTAATGTATTTGTAAACTTCATCACCCAACTGTAGCAAGTCCATTGCCACTCGTCTTTCATCTGGTTTCCATTCGCGATCAGCGCCACCGAACATTTCCATACGTAACAAAGCAAGCATAGATGATGAGGTATATTTTCTTATACCGTTGAAAAGTTGGGCTTTTGTTACGGTTAAAGGTGGATTTGTGCTTGGTGGAGCGTACTGTCGACTATTGGAAGTGCAAATTTCATTATTCGTTAACGGTGTTGGCGCTTGACTAGTTGACACAGCATCCATTTGTTTGTTTTGCCTTTGGTTCTCTAATTTCGAGCATTTATTTTCTAATTTGGATTTATCTTGTTGCAACTTCTGAATTTGCTTACATGAATTCTTATTGGTCTCGACCATCTTTTTATAGTCTTTACATAATTCTTCGTGGTTTTCCGATAAACTATCAAGCTCACTTTTAACTTTATTCAGTTCCATTTCAGTTTGAGCTAATTCGGTTGTTTTACATTTCAATGCCTCTTTTGATTCCTTCAATTCGTTTTCCAACTTATTAATACGGGCTAGCAACTCATCAGTCACGTTGTCAACTTGCTCTGCGTTTTGCACATACTCTGCCACATCTTCTTTTTCACTCATTTCTCCGTTTATGTACTCTTCAAAACTTCCCAAATCGAATTCTTCATCTTCGTCATCGTTATCTTCAACCATATCTTTTGCTTGAATGTATTCACCCGAGTCCAGAGGAATGCTTAACATTGTGTGACCATCATTCAATTCTATTTGAATTATCGATGATGAAGTGGCGGACTCAACGGCAGAAGAAGTGGCAGTAGAATTTAAAATTTTAATCTTTTTCGGCTGGCTTTGCAATTCCGTGCTAATTGTTTCATTTCGGCTCCTCTTTGGCTTTTTTTGAAGTTCTTCAGATTCTACAGATTTTGATAAAACAATTTCATTTTGTTCTAAATATTCATTTACATTTAAATTGTCATGAAATGAAAATGGAAAAGTATAAGTAGATGGTGGTATCAAATGTATCATTGTACTCTTTGGTGTTTTAATTAATTCAGGACAACCTGTCACCGAAACTTGTGCGTAGTCCAAAACCAGTTCATCATTTAGACGGAAGAGTGTAGGTTCAGCTCCTGGATTTAAGCGATCCCTTTTATAATTTTTGAAGCATTCATCGCGGAAGTGTCTAGCACAAACAACTCTATTCTTTTGGAAGGACGCTGGCATTTTCAAAAAATGCATTGTATCAGCAAAAGTAAGCCACCGTTTGTAACGTTCCTTATTATTGAAAGGAAATGTAAAGAAATGCATTCCAGGATATTGAGAAGTCCCCACAGGACACTTACGAAACACACAACGACATCCACCCATTGTTATAGAATTTTTTGAACAGCAATTTTTTTTTTTGTTTTATTGTTACTTCATCACCGCTTAGCCGTGTAAAGATTTATTTGGCCAACTATATAGCTATATCGCCAACACCAGAACAACAATTTGATTTACTTATTTATTTATTATTTATATTTTGACAAAGTGATGTGAAACGCCTCTAAAGAATAATAAACGATATTAGTACAGATTCAAGTTCATCGATACATTTCGTAACTATCGAAATGTATCATCAGCTCTAGACCTATCGCCTATGCTATGGCAAATAAAAAGTTTATGGACCGTAATCTTTCACCCCGAATAAAAAAAAAACTGTGTTTGCCTAAAAACATCCTCTAACAGGCCTATTCTCACTGTTACCGGTAAAGTAAATTTTATTACTTTTGTTAACGCCCGCAATTGTGTTTGGTCAAAGAACGTATACGAATATGAATGAATATCAATTTATATACGTTCTTTGATTACATTTGCCAGTGAATAAAGTAAAAAGAAAAATATTCACATCGAAATGGAAGGCGGTGCATAAAAAAAATAAAAAGTTTTATTAATTTGTTTATTAAATCATAAATATTTGAACCTAATTATGGAAAATATGCCTGGATAACAATAAAAGGCTGAATGAATGGATAACGTATTCACAAATTAAAGGGCTATTTTTTAGTCTCGAAAACTTCTGAAAATACGGCTTTTTGCACTTTTTTCTTCATCTTTACTGAATTCCAGGCCAAAAATATACCTACCCATTTTGATTTTTTATTTTTTCTCAAACTTACAACACAAAACCAAACAACAGATATTTTTGTTACCTCCTTTTTCGCTGGTACAAAATTTACAGGGTGACAGTGAACTCAGAATACGAAACAAAATTTACTGAATGGTAAATTTTTATACTTAGGTAAATTTTGTTACCTCGACAGAATAGGCTTGAAGTGTTAGTTGGTAGCACTTAAGGAAAAAACAAAGAAATTTAGCTAACAACACACAAGACGTTATTTACGCTGTTCCGACTTCTATGTCGGGACTGACGATATGTGGATGACCAGACATTTACTGGAGACTAAACCACAAAGTATGAACATCAGGAAGGGAGTACTTCACTCCTTGCAGCCCAATACAGGAGAACCGCTGGACAGGAAGGCGTAACGACAAGCTTTAAGCATCATTCGCCGAGACCCTATCAGCACTTACTTGAAATCTCTTCCAGTCAATGGCGACCTAGGAATTCAATTAATACTCAACGCAAATACAGATCATGAGCTGAGCAATAGTGGCACAACTATAACTATAACTCGACTGAATTCCAACCTATCCACACTTGGCCTTGAGATACCTAACGTAAGTAACGCATGAGACCCTGCACGACACTGGTTGAGTGCATTATTTTGAGTTCCACTTATTATAATAATAAAAATTGTCAAATTATTTTTACGTGTAACTTGCCTTAATGTCTGTGATAATTTGCAATAGTATTGAAGTGGTGATGTTTGTGCAAGTATGTGGAATGCGTTATAAGATTTCATTAAAGTAATTCGGCGTGTATTTGAAATGAGAATTATGATTGACAGAGCTAATAACGTAATTGGCGTACGTTCTTTGGCAAGCTGTGTATTTCGGTGTTTGTTTTGTGCAAACTATTTGGCAGCCCTGTTGGTTTTAATACGATAGTAGCGGGCGTCGGGATTTTTTCTAAAGTTTGTTAATTTTCCTGCTGCTCACGGCTGTTTAGAGAAAAATATAGAAATGAAGAAAAATAAGCCAATATTGCATGATCCCCTAATAATCAATCGTGTTAAACAGGTACATGTCCTAAAATATTGGCTAGCTCAAATGTTTAGTTTAAGAAAAATGTTGAGGTTATGTTTTAAGGGCTTCAAACATCGGTTCGCGGCTACCAAAACGAGTTTATTTGAGATTTAGTGTGATTTAGTGAACTAACAAATAAGTTAAACTTCTTTTACAGTATTTAGAAGAAAATGTAGACAAAAAGTTTTTGGATGTTAGCGTGATGACCCGTCAGCTGATGGAGCGATATCCTGAGTATACTCGCCGCAAACAAGCGCCTTTTAGAGCTCTGGTTGAGCAAGGTAAGTAATACATACCTCGATATTTAGCAGTATAAATAATAAAGATCACTCGCTGTTGCAGCTTATCGCATTGTATCGCATAGTTATGGTTTGGAAAGTCAGCCTTCCAGCGGTGATGATTCGGACGGTTCTGATCTAGAAGTAATGGATGTAAGTGGGATGTTTAATTTTGATCTTGTTCATGAAATGTAGCTTTTATTGTTTTCAAGGATTCTGTGTCTAGCAATTTGATGAACAATTTAATGAATAACCTTTATCAAAAACCAAAGTCTAATATATCGAAGCCAACAACAACAAAGCAGACTGCAAGTGAAGCTATTGATATCAGTAGCGATGATGATAGCGGTGATGATAATTGCACAAACGGCAAATCATTAGATGGCAGTGAGTAAATTTAACGAAGGAAATAAAAACACCAAATAATATAATAACACTTATTGATATTATTTCTTCCTTCTTTTGTGAAACAGTAAACAATGCATCTAGTACAACCAAGTCTTTTTCCGGTGTTATTCTAACAAAAGCCAATGTACCAGCAGAATCATCTTCTAAGGGTTCGTCTAATTCTACCAACACGGAATCAACACTTGGTGCTCAGAAACGTCACGAGTTTCCGGAGTCCACAGATCAACAACAACTGCCGAGTAAAAAGCGTAAGTTGGAGTCGAACGGAGGAATATCTCCCGAATATTCACACGCCAATTTGAATATGCGTTTAATATCATTAGAAAGGAACGATAGAACTTCTCAGTTGTATGAAAGGGGCCAAACTGAACAGCAGCCGCAAAATATACGTCAACAAATCCAACAACAACAAATGCAACGAGCTAATCGCTTATCTAATTATCAACTGGGCAGCGATGCTGCCGTTTCAGGGTCATCAAATCAAATGAATCAGCTGCGCCAACGGAAATTTAAGAAGGAAGTTGTATTGCGTAAATCACGCGAAACATTCCAGGATATTGGAGGCATGGAGAAAACATTGAAAGAGCTTTGTGAACTTCTAATGCACATTAAATCGCCGGATATTTACTTTGTTTTGGGTTTGATGCCACCCCGAGGGTTACTTCTGCATGGTCCACCGGGTTGTGGTAAAACTTTACTAGCTCATGCCATTGCTGGGGTAACTATATAAACATTTCAAACAATATTAATATAAATAAAAAAATAAAAATCCGAATATTTTTTTTTAGCAATTAAATCTACCGCTGATTGAGGTCGCCGCCACTGAGTTAATTGCTGGTGTATCAGGCGAATCTGAGGAACGTATACGTGATGTATTTGAGCAGGCGACTATTTATTCTCCAAGTGTTTTGTTTATTGATGAAATTGATGCGATTTCATCGAATCGATCAATGGCACAAAAAGATATGGAACGTCGTATTGTGTCACAGTTGATTAGTAGTTTGGATACATTAAAAACGACCGAAGAGGGTCAAAATGTTTTAGTAATCGGCGCCACTACACGTCCAGACGTGCTGGACCCCGCCTTGCGGCGTGTTGGACGATTCGATCATGAGGTTGCTATCGGCATTCCAACACGTAAAGACCGCAAGGATATATTGACTATTATCTGTTACGGTCTATCCGTGGATTCAAAGTGTGACTTTGATAAAATAGCAGAACTGACACCGGGCTATGTGGGCGCCGATCTATTAGCGCTAGTTTCACGTGCTGCTACCATTGCTGTAAAGAGGAAGTATGTATATATCATGAATACTGCACATCATATTGTGTATATATATATATATATTATATATAGTATATATGCGTTACTAATTATTGCAATTAATTGCTTTACAGGTGCTCAGAATATATACGAGCTTTTCAATTGGAATCGCAACGAAACATTACCATAGTCGATTTGGATGATGAAGCGGATGAAAGCACAGACACAAACAACAAACAAAATGAACAAAACAAAGACGAAGCTTCAATTAATGCTAATACCAAGGTAGATGATGAACAGAAGCAAACAACAGAAGGAGAAACTGTTGAATCAAATAGCGAAATAAAAGATAATGACGCAGATGGTGAAATGTCAGAGAAAAATACCAATGGCACCACCACCAATGACAATGTGTCCACTACAGAAAAGAAAGCTACTGAAGCAATGGAAGTAGATGAGGGTGATGAAGCAGCCAAAATTGAAGAAGAAACCAATACAACAAATGTACAAATACCAGATAGTAGCGAGAAAACTACAGAAGTAGTTTCCTCAGCTGATGAAGCTAAAGCTAATGAAAATACAAATGTAACACCAACAACAACAACAACAGAATCCTCATCGGACCCAACGGACGCTCTTAATGTATCGGAACCATCACTTTTAGAACTTCTAAATTGGCTTGACAATCCTCCGACAGATTTAACATGTGCCGCAGACTTTTGCATCACCATTGAAGACTTTATGGAGGCGGTCAAAGTTGTACAACCGTCGTCTAAACGTGAAGGCTTCATAACTGTACCGGACGTAACATGGGCTGATATCGGTTCATTACAAAACATACGAGAAGAGTTGCAATTGGCTGTTTTAGCGCCTGTTAAATTCCCAGAAAAGCTTATAACTTTAGGTTTAACCGCCCCGTCTGGTGTATTGTTATGTGGACCGCCAGGATGTGGTAAAACCTTACTTGCCAAAGCTATAGCCAATGAGGCTGGCATTAATTTTATATCGGTTAAGGGACCAGAATTAATGAATATGGTAAGTAGATAAGATACTTAAAAAAAATGTCTTCAGTTTGATTTTTGCCTTTATTTTTATTTTAGTACGTGGGCGAGAGTGAGCGTGCCGTACGTGCATGCTTTCAACGTGCACGCAATTCAGCACCTTGCGTCATCTTCTTTGACGAATTTGATTCGTTATGCCCGAAACGTTCGGATACGAATGAAGGTGGCTCAGGCACACGTGTTGTTAACCAGTTGCTTACCGAAATGGATGGTGTTGAAGATCGTAAAGGCGTTTACATTCTAGCAGCCAGTAATCGGCCGGACATAATTGATCCGGCTATATTGCGTCCTGGACGTTTGGATACCATTTTATATGTAGGCTTACCGCAGACAGATGAACGCGTAGAAATATTGCAAGCGACAACTAAGGTGAGCGTGTGCATTCAATACAGCCGAAATACTTTTTATAAAATTATAAAAAAAAAAATTAAAACAAAGAAATTAAAACAAAAAAATTAAAACAAAAAAATTAAAACAAAAAAATTAAAACAAAAAAATTCAAAAAAAAAAATTCAAAAAAAAAAGTTTAAAAATAAAAGTTAAAAAAAAAAAGTTTAAAAAAAAAAATNGAAAATAAATTAAAAAAAAAAAAATTAAGTAAAAAATTAAGAAAAAAATTAAAATAGATTTAAAAAAAAAAACAATGAAACAACAAAAAAATTAAAAAAATTAAAAAAAATTAAAAAAAATTAAAAAAAATTAAAAAAATTAGAAAAAAAATTAATAAAATAAAAAGGAATTAAAAAAATAAAAAGAAATAAAAAACAAAAAAAAAATAAAAATTACGAGTACCAAAATTTTTAAACATTTTTGTTTTAATTATTTCACATTTTGATTTTATCTCCATAGAACCGCACACGCCCTGAACTGGCAGATGATGTTGATTTCACTGCTATTTCTGCAAGCACCGATGGCTACACGGGCGCCGATCTGGCCGGTCTGGTGCGGCAAGCTTCAATGTTGGCCTTGAAAGAGTCGATAAACAGTCCCGATGCAACGGATCTGCGTGTGCGCAAGGCACATTTTGATACCGCACTGAAGCTCATACGGCCCTCAGTTAGTGCGCAGGTGAGCAGGCTTAAATAAAATTGAATTCCTATTCACAGACATTTGTTTTAAATCAATATATATTTTTTTTATTAAAGGATCGCAAAACATACGAAAAATTGCGTTTGAAATATGCCGCACCAAGAGAGGAGCCCTCAATTCGAGCGGAGAATGCAGAATAATTACAATAGATATAATAATAATTACATAAAATAGTTCGTTGAAGTTAACGATTTAGCGGTGATTGTCTGTTTGGGCACTATATTTCAGCGATGAATATATATGCGTACAGATGTTTTTTTTTAATGCAACATGCATACCAAATTTTATTGGCAAAAAACTGAATTGACCCCCAATGTACAACCACATTTCCAATCTATTTTTGTTCTTTCAATTAATTTCAAAATTAATATACAAACTATTTTTTCTCATTAAAAAATCATTACATCTATACTATGAATTTACTAATTATGTTGTATATTGCAAAGCGAAAAAGCATAAAGCATTGATTTATTTAAATAAAGCGAAATTGTGTATGTTTTGTACAATAATACATTTTCAAGAGGCAAAAGATAATTGCACAAGAAAAAAACAAATAAAATACTCTTATTAAAGAGGTTAAACCTTTCGCGTTTTTCATAAATTTTAGTTTTCATACAGATGTTTTATTCAATGAAAATTATAGTAAAACTTGGAATTTTCATAATAAAACGCGTCTTTCAGTTAAAAAAACACACACACTTGCATTTCCACATTATTTGCAAATTTTAATGTCTTATCGAAATAATGATGAATTACAAATTATTTTATTTAGAGCACCAATTTGTTTAACACTTGGGCGGCCCATGGCGCTGCTTTACCAAATCCCCAGATTTCATTGCGGACATCAGAGCATTGTAAGTTGGTGGTTTATTAACTGTTGTTGTTGCCGTTGCCTGCTGCAGCGTTGACTTAACAGCATTAACAAATAGCTTGCCATTGTGTACCGTTTCTTCTAAGCCCGGAAATGGCGGCTCTAGATCATAAGCCGTTTTGCACATCTCTCTTATGCCAAACCAACTCTCATGGCCGATGGGACTGATGGCCTCTGCTGGCGGTTGAAAGCCCAAAGCATGCGATGGCAATTCCATCACCAAGGCCAACGGTACATTTATTACACCGAAGACATAGTCAACAATCGAACCGGATATGCGGCGTTTAGTTAATCTGTCGATTTGTGGAAATATTCAGAAGTGGAATAATATATTTACAGTTTTCATTAAAAAATTCAAGTTATTCACACACTTGGCTATGCTGCCGACCCGATAATGTCGTCCATTGTACGATTTTATGGCATTGCGTCCAGCTAATGCTAATTTCTCTAGTTTCTGCCACGACTCAGGTAGATCTCTGCAATTAGATGAAGTGTGTGAGGAAAAGAAATAAAAATAAAGTGTCCCAATTTCATTACAGTGAGAGAGAGAGACCGAGGCATTACCAACTCGCTCGACGCTCTAGAAGAATTCAATTTAAAAAATTCATTCGTAATTGGATTTCCAGTGGAGCTCCCTACTCGTTTTACTAGAAAAACCGGTTACCAATCTTTCTTGCTCAACTGATAGTCATTAAAATCATGTCGGATTTTCATGGTTGAAAAACGTAGAAGCTCGTAAATAGAAATGAAAGGAGATTAAATCAAGCTATAATCTTAAACGAGTGATAATCAAGCAAGCTGAGGAAGTAGAGGGAGACAACCGGTTGAATTAAACAAATAAGGCGGTGAGAAAACTATTAGATTGGTGATGGAGTCTGTATTTTAACGCGAAGTAGAACGCTCCTCAAAATTATCCATCAGCCCGCCCCACACAGATTGGAATAAACTGTACATCCCTCAAACATAAAGAAACACCACAAAATAGAGGGGGAGCGAGGCTGGCATTCACCGATCATTAGTTTTATACCCTAAGCCAACAAATATATGAAGACAACTCACTTGCTATAACCCCACGGATACATGATACTCTCGGCATATGAGTGCAATGACAAAAAGAATAAAAGGCTATCCTTCTGTTTAAGCAGAATATTGCGCATGGCGCGTGTCTCTGGTTCCGAGAACGGTTTCACACCCTTGAACGTATTACGACCACTCTTTGACGGTCCATCTTCCCAGTGGAAATCATAATTACGATTACAATCGGTGCCAATGTGACGGGAATGCTTAATGGGCCGTCGATTTTTGCGCCAACGTCGACTCTTCACAAACGTATACTCGTAGCCATCTGGATTTGCAAGCGGCACAATGATGAAACGCAATTTACGCAGCAACTCATAATTACGCATATGTTTTTCGGTTAATTGGTAAATGCAATTCAATGCCACCGCCACGGTGATCCATTCGCGCGCATGTGTGCCACCCTCAATGAAGACGGTATTGCGTCCCCGCGGTTCTGTGCATACGCTGGGTTGTGGTAGAGGTGTTGTCGTCAGTGTCGTTCTATTCAAAAGTGCTCGACGTGCACGCTCCCTTTCTATGGCCTCCAAGTTCTTTTCACAATTCCAGTCGATTTCAATCGCTTTCAGCTGACGACGTTCGTGTGACATGCCGAGCACATGTATTTGCACGAAACTGTAGCGATTCTTTAGATATTCCAGATAACGGTTTATGTCGTCATGCCGTAAATAGCCGTGCAGTACATCTGGGCGCGCCACTAATAATTTTTGGAATTTCGCATATGAAACGGTTTTTTTAGTGCGTTTCTTGGTGCGCCTCTTCAAGCTAACCGGCATGTCTGCGGGCTGAGCGTGGTTAGTTGTTTAAAAATTTAACGGTGAATTTATTTAAAATTTTTATTTATTTTCTTTTTCTAATCACATTTATTAATTTTAGGCTTTATCACTCGACTGTTTCCTTCCACAAATTCATTAAAAATTAATTTAGACACCTCTAAATTTGCAACTGTGCTCTTTGAATGTGTAGAATTTGGAAAAGCAAAATTTACAAACGCACACAAATATAGAAATTAGAGATTTTGGTAATGAAAATTTTTATTCACTTTCACCTCTCACTTCAAAGAAATGAAAATTTACACAAAAATAAAGAAAACTTGGTTTTGTTTACAACTTCCTTTTCTCTTAAAGCAAATTTGAAAAACATAGTTTTGTGGAGTGTTGAACACTTTTCGGTATAGCAGGTTTTACACCATCCGATCAGCCAATTGGCTTTACGACGAATGCAAGGACTCCGCTTTGATGAACTTTTGCTGGCTAAATTTGGTTGACACACATTGGAGTTCCTTTTTTGAAAAGCCCATAAAAACGACCTAAACGACCAGACAACTTTAACTTTCTCAATAGATGTTCATACGTACATGCTGTTGATGTATGTACATATTCACCGCACTATCCTTAGCGGTGGTTCACATACCCTGTAGGAATTTCGATATATAAAGCGAACTCAAATGAATAAATATATATATAAAATAAAGCTAAATAAAATATATAAATATAAAAAATTAAAAAAATAAAGTAAAATACAATTGTATTAAAAAATATAAAATTAATTTAATATAATAAATATAAAGTAAAATAAAATAAAATAGAAAAAAATAACATAAAATGATAAAAAAAAATTAAATAAAATAGAATAAAATAAAGCAACTCAATATAATATAAATTAAAATAAAGTAAAATATAAAAAAATTAAATAAAATGAAACTAAATTAAATGGAATAAAATAAAATTAAAAAAATAACATAAAATTCATTAAAATTAAATTAAATGGAATAAAATAAAATAAAACCAAATTAAATGGAATAAAATAAAATAAGATTTAAAAAAATAAAATAAAATTCATTAAAATAAAATGAAATGTAGTGGAAAGCAAAGACATAAATAAAACAAAAAAAGAACTAATTTAAAACAAAAACAAATATAGTAAAATAAAATAAGATAAAACAAAATAAAATGAAATAAAAAATATTAAATAAATAACTAAATAAAAAAAAAATAATTAAAATAACATAAAATAAAATTTATTTAAATAATATAATCCAAAATAAAATAAAATGAAACAAAATATAAAATAAAAGTATAAAAATAAACTAATGAAATAATATTGCATTAATAATATAAAATGAAATAAATTTAAATAAAATTAAACAAAATAAAATAAAATGATATAAATTATAATAAAATAATATAAATTAAAATAAAATAAGTTAAAAATATTTAGAATAGAGTTAAATTTTGTAAAATAAAATGAAATAGAATAAGGTAAAACAATAAAAATATAAGTTAATACAATATAAATTATAATAGAAAAATAAAATTACCTAAAAGAAATAAAATATTTAATATAATATAAATAAAAATAAATTGATTTAGTGTAAATTAAAACTATATAAAGTAATATGAAATATAATAAAATAAAATAATATAAATAAAAAACTTAAAAAAAAAGATTTTAAAATAATAAAATAGAAAAATTATAATAAAATAATATTATCAAAAAAAAAAAAAAACAGCTGAGTAGCTGATTTGTATAATAAGTATAGAACTGCGGAATCTCAATTTCTCACAAGGGTACTCATAGCCACCTACATACACATTGAATTAACATTAAATGCGCCTAACGAAGGCTTCCCCGTCTGCTCAATCACAAGTTTCGCTTTAGCCTAAAAATGGCACAATACCTTATTAGTTGGGTATGGTCGTTAAACACGAGATCGACCAAGTAAGTTTTGGTATAATGAATGTAAAAACAAACATAACGGTTAGCTTAACCAGCACATTATAATGTTGAATTATATTTACATATGTTTGTATTAAATTCAGCATAATAGTTTTGCAAGTACATTATTTTTGCATTCTTCTACAATTTTGTTTTCCTAACCAGCTGTCACGATGTGTATATTATAATGAAAAAGTTTTCTGTGCGTGCAAATTTCGAACGGAAGGATATGTAAATAATATGGAAGATGATCAAAGTATGCATGCAATTCTGTAAAGAGACATACATGTTTGTACATATGTATGTAATAAAAGAAATACGAAATATTTGTTTTTGTTAAAGTTGACAGGTGGTTGTTGCTTCAAATTATTTCATATGGAAGACAAATTCTTGAAAAAGTTGTTTTGTTTGTCTCTTTTCAAAAGTATTTCGAACTTTTTTCAAAGACATGTGTTTCGTTTTATTTACTTAAATAAATAAATAAAAAAATAAATAAAATTATTTTATGATTTTTTCTGTGCACACACAGTCACGAATATATTAAATTGTATTATGTATACAAACCCACATATTACTGCGGAAGTCTAAACCATTGACGCCGGCAACCAGTTGATTTTCGATTGCAGCCTTATTTGCTCACTCTTCGACTATTGACATGCCATTTGCAATTTGTGATTATCCTTTTCATATACACAAATAATATTTTATGGAGTTAATTTCTTATCCTTTCGACAAATATTTTGTTTGTATGCAGCTCAAGGGTTCACCTGGCGGAAGGTATGAATCAAAAACGTCACGCAATCGATTATTGCTTGTCATCCTTAACAAGCCATGGGTGGAGTTGCTGACATTTTACTACTCTTTTGTGTGCCACGAATGTTACATATTATGTCATTAAATATTAACATACAAATGGCTTTGAGTTAGTGTGTGTCTACAAATTTGCATGTCTGATATTTTTTTTTTATTTAATTTATTATATTTTTATTTAAGCATTGCAGACATTGCAATTCCTGAGTGAAATGAGAAAAGTTGGTAGATATGTATGGTGAAATCCACATATGTAATTATGAGAATACGAAATGAGTACTACATATGTTCACATTTATGTATTTCTTACGAGTCCTCACATTTGATTGTTGCTCATACGCCATGGAAGCATTTCTTATTTCATTTGTTATGAGCCGCCTTTGAGTTTCGTTCTTTGTGGTTAGCAAAATTTTGAAAGAATTTGATGAAAAAAAATTAATACGTAAAAAAAAAATAAAAGTAAAAAATAATTATAAGCATTCATTGACGAAAATGGTCTGATTGCGATGTTCAATCGGTAATTAAATGGGTAGAGCTTACGACCTGCAGAGTTGAAAGTGAGCCTTAAAGGTTTTATGTTTCTGATCCATTCAGGCTTAATTTTCGACTTACAACATTTTATTTTTAAATAAGCTTCTTACACACCTTTTGGTCTCATCTTCAATTTTTATTCTATTTTTAATTACTTCATTTGTGAAAACATGAACCGACAAAATATGTCATTTTGAATAGCCAAAACGAACGAATTCAAGTAAATACTCTGAAATTTTCAAGATAATGCGACAATTGTGGACACGCATATCTGTAACGACGCGCCAGAGCATTTCAAAGCCGAAAGGCTCGGTTTCACCTCGTTTATCTCAAAATTTTGTTTTTATAGTCAGTGATCATAGACCTCATAGACCGGATATCCATCTGCGTTCTGCTGCTGAATCGTGATAAACTCTACTCATTTCTGAAGCAGATTTTAACTGCTGATGAAAAGTGGATCACTTAATGTCTTGTCAAACGAAAACGATCTTGATTGAAGGGTGGCCCACTGCCCTGCAAACGATCCCCCAGTAAGAAATGACGGCCAGAAATATTTTGTTGTGTCTTTAGTGGAATTGGCAGGGAATCATCTACTAACTAATTCGGACCTGTACTATCAGTAATTGGACCATTTGAAGGAAGCAATCGCCCAAAAGCGACCAGCTTTAGCCATCGGTAGTGATTGCCAGAAACTTTGACAGCTTAATTTGTAGGTTCATGCATCCGTCTTGTGGTATGGAGCTCAAACCATGGGATTACCATCCTGTTCCTGTCTATTCTGTAGCATTTGCCTGGTGAAGAGTTAGTCTATAGAGAAGCCTGTGAAAATCGATTATTCCATTGTTTTGCCTACAAGAGCGATGGTTTTTACCTTCCAAATGGCAAAAAGTTATCGAGAAAAACTGTGCAAAATGGATGGATATAAATCGGATATAAATTTAGCTATGGTAAATAGTAAATTCAATTTGCAACCGTTAGTAAATATTTCTTTATACAGATGATCGAGTGAGAGTAGTCAATGCTGGCGGAATGAATTCTAAAATCGCTACATAAGTCTATCATAAGGCTAATACACTTTTGGAAAAACCCAAGTCAGATTATGATCTTGGTAAAGCAAAAAAAAAATAAGAGGAAAATACAAAGACTTAATCAAAAATGATAATTTAATTAAAATGCAGGAGTTATTGGTGCATAAGCTCTTACTCGGACTAGAGTTGGCACACTGTTCCTTTTCAGTGTAGGTAAAACCCACGTTTGTCTGCCAAAGGCTAATGGCTCTTGCGCATTAAAAGGTCTCATAGTTTTTGACCTGAGCTACCCACATTAATATATTCGCTTATATGTGAAAGGTTTGACTTTAGAGCATGCACAGAATTGCTTTAAATTTGCATAATTGATAGTTACAAACCATAACCATCTTCTTCTTTTGTTTCATATTATGATTTTATTTCTGTATTCAATAAAATTTGGTACTTCAGAGTCTCATACAAATCGATAGCGAGCGTTTACGTTACACGACGAAACTTGTACGAAAGATACAGTTAATTGCCTTTCTGATACATTTAAATATTTTGAAATAAAAAAAAAATAAAAATTTTAATGAAGCAATCAAGTGAACTCTTTTGCTATTTCAAGGCCAATTGTAAGGTGAATATCCTCATTTGAATAATTTTGAACGATTTTGATTGTAGCATCTTGATTTCCACACACTTCTCTATTTGTTTATTTTCACAATTGGTAAAGTGGGCTTAGTGTAAAATACAATAATTTTATTGGAAAATTAAATATTCTTATGGCAATTGAATTACCGGAAGTTGCTGCAAAATGCCATCAGAATTGATGTATTGATTTTGTGATTTGGATGAAATAAAAAAAAGATTTTTCAAAAATATGCCTTTCTAATTTGTGCGGAAACAAATGTTTTTGAAGTGAATAATCAAAAAGAAATAAATAAATTTATTATATGAATAAAGATTCATGTGTACTTGAAGTAAACAAAAAATATGTAAAAATGATTTTGCCTCAGATGATTACTTTTCATAACTACAAATCGCTGAATTCTTTTTATTTTTATTTATTTTTTGTCTCAGCACCTCCACCTTTGACGGCTTACTTATTTATAACATATGCATATATGTGTGTGTATATTAATTTTGAATGTGTAAGTGTAGTTTATAAGGTTTCTCGGGATGTTGTAGGAAGCATTATGGTTTTATTTTTTTTTTTTTGTGAGAAAATCAAATCCACTCTGGAAACAGAGTTGCCTTTCTTTTTTAAATTACGGTAATGACAATTTAATTTGGCACAAGAAAGCATAAAAAGCTACAATATAACACATATCGTGTTAAATCATATTTTTCGAGGCCCATGAATATTAGATTTTTATATATGTTTTCAAAAAGTTATGGAAAATTAAATTTAAAATAATTTTAAATGCAATATTTTTACGTTTATGTTCGAAGCCGCAAAATGAATAAACCTTTATAAAATATATACAAAAATCAAATAATATCAAAATTAAAATATATTAACGAAAAAAAAAAAATAGTTTTCGTTCTAGGAAATAAATATTAACCGAAATGGTCATAATAAATCTCGCACTTCATCTTAAACAATTTTTTCGCGTTCGCCGATCACTCAAAGAAATTTATTCATACTACGTTAAAATTAACTTTCAATTTATTAAGAATATCTATAAATTAAAAATCATAAAAATTGTAGAGAGCATACCCAGCAAACCATCTAAGGTAGAAGAAAAGATATGCAACGAGAGTCGAAGAGAGAGATTATCCGGAAGGATTATACCAAAAAAGTAAGAAATACGAAATGTGTGCTTTTTTGAGCTTTCTGAAGCTTGCATACCTTCCAAGATTATATCAGATTTATTATTATTTTTTTGACGACTAAATAATAATACAATACTAAAGACATACAGACGAAATTCTAATTATGCTTAAATTAACTCTGCTCGTCGTGCTAATTCGACCGGTATACATTTTGATGAATCTCTGTCTTCTCTCTCTCTCTTCGTAAAGTTCATGAAAGGTATGCAAAGAGAGTAAGATAGCGTTGTGTATGATCCGACGAATGCTGCAAAAATTTTCTGGAGAAGAACAGTAAGTTTGAAACTAGACGAAGCACTGAAACACGAGGAAGACTTCTTGTCTGACAGAAATTAAGAGTTTTTTTTCTAAAGAACCAATTTCAAAATTGCCGCTTTGTGAGAGTTTTCGAATTATTAACCATTAACTTATGTGTTCTCAATGAGCGTGAAGGCTCTTAAAATATACTCTCTTTTCATTTTCATTGCCATGGTTTACTGGGCAGCATTCACATTACACTTTCGCACCACAAAGACTTGCGTAAACTAATAGATAAAATCTCGATTAGTCGGGCTATGACGTAAGCAAATAACGCTTGAGTGATTTTGAATTGGTCTTGCTTTTTGTCCACTTCGAAGGTGTCAATTTGTAAAAGAAATCGAGCGGAACGGATAAAATTGTTTTGTTTGCGTATATATGTATACGTAAGTATAATCGAATAGCACAATAAAAGAATAAAAAGAAAATAAAAATAGAATTAGAAATACCGCTTTGAATTTTTTACAATAGATCTGAGAACAAAAAAAAAAAAAAAAAATAAAAGACTTGTGTCAATGACTGCGACAATTTGTTGTTGCTTAATATCGAACTTGAAATTGTTAATTTCTTTTAATTTATTTATTGCCGTTTACGTCGTTTATGATTTTTGTTTTGGGGTTTTCATGGTGATTCCCACTTAAAAAAAAATATATATATATACACTCTTTTTTGGAAGTTATAAGCAGCAAGTGTTCTCAGTTTTAAGAATGATGCTATTGCCATGTTGCGAAAGCGTGCAGAGTAACCCAGTGGAAATTATTCTATGGAATATTATGTTTTAAAGGAATATTTGATAGGAATCCAAACGGAATTATGAAAAATAAGTAAACTCGTTTCTCTTTCTTTGCACTCTCTCTGTATCTCTCACTCTCTCGCATTAACCACACATTATAAGCTTGAATAATTTATTTATCTACCCTTCCTGATGACCAACTCCAATAACCAATCGTCAGACTAACCCGGTGATTAGGAAAACGAATGACCTATTCACTGACGCGCTCGGAAATTTCCCTGTGAGTATTTCTCGACGAACCCAACCGAAGGACGCGTTTGAGGGATAATCGAAAAATCCAACAAACCGGTGACCCGAAAACCAGTAACTGTCTGGACTGCCCTGAACCCGAAACCGATCGCGAAAGGTCGCGGCTAAACTTGCCGCTTACACTGAACAGCCACAGATTTGTTCATGAGCAGCTATAAAATTGCATGGAGAAAAAGAGAAGGAATTTACTAACTATTTAAAGCACTCAGTAAGTAGGTTTTGATACAGAAAAGCGAGTCAGAGGAATCAATGGTGGTGAAATGTGTATTAAAATCGTAACACAAAGATACACATACAGATACGTACATATCAAAGTGTGCTCTGCATGATCACAAAAAAAGGGGAGTAAAGTGTCTAGATGATCTTAAAGGGATGGTAAAGCTAAGCTCGCTAAGTCGGAATGGATCATTGATAAGATCTCTTATCAATTTAGTTAAAACTAAAACTCCAAGCATCTTTCTCCGACTAATGAGCCGCAAACGAATTTTGTAAGAAGACTGGTTCTTATTCGCATCCCAGTTTAAATTTCTTAAGGCGAATAAGTAGGAATTGCTTTTGTACAGATTCCAATTTGTTGCTTTAAATATTTGAAAATTTCTACAAATCAAGTCCCCCTCCCTTTGAAATGAAAAATTTAGCTGAAAAAAATAAGTCACTTTTAAGATCGATACGAAAACGAATTATCCAGGTTCCTCGCGTTCACCGAAAGAAGTAAAAGCGTACATCCTCTGCCATTCTAAACGATGCCTACCCGCGCAAACTATAGAAAATTGGCAACATTGCCGCTACCAGTAAAATGAAAGAGCAGGTACAAAAGCAGCGAGTAAGAACGAATGAGTAACAGTTTGTCCGTAGCGCTGAGAACAACAATAAATGCAAGTAAAAATTGTGTATATCAAGATAGTGCCCACATGACGCGAGTGCCGAAAAAGCTTATTTAAGGGGCACACCTAGTGTGAAATTTCAAAAAAATCCATATTTCATATTTCGGTAGATTACACCTTTAAAAATGAAATATTAAAATTTCAAATCGATATCTCAAATCGTTTTTGAGTTGTAGCATTTTAAAGAGCAGCCACTCGGCAGCTAGAGAGTCTCATTAGCTACGAGTGAAATCGATCATTTTATCTTTAAACGCGTTTCTCTCGAAACAGCATTTTCCGAATTTGCTGCAGTGATTACTCAAAAATAAATGATTCGATCACTATCGAATTTTTTTACATGTTCTATATATAGTTCTCCGTACAATGGGCTATCGATTTTTGATCTGATTAAAAAATCGAATTTTGGCAGGCCAAAAACGACCAAAATTTTGGGTAAATTTCGACTATTTTTTTAAAACGCCGCCATATTTTCAATTTTTGATTTTTTTATCGTAGGTCATTGTACAGATAATATTATCTTATCTAGAATTTTTTTTTAGATTTCATCGAGGGAGAAGGCCGGAATGACTGCAACAATGAAGGACCTCTTTTTTCGCGCTGATGGAGATCGACTATAACTAAAAAACTATCTAATTTTTTTCTTCAAAAATTTCACTGTATATTCTTGATACATGTATAAATATATTCTTAAAATTTTGAAATTATGGATAAGGTATTTTTTTTTAATAAAAATTTCCAAAAATCACCTTTTTTTAGGCCATTACACTAGGTCCGCCCCTTAAAGAACTCAAGAACAAAAACACACAATTATTTAATAAAAAAAAAATACTCTGATATAAATATTTTTGCTTGCCTGTGGTTGCTTTGTAACTCTCGACCTACTTAACCAGCCTCATATCAATGTTTTGATCTAAATTCGCACGCAAGACTTCCTATGCGGATGCAAGAATAATTATACGAGTATACGAAAATTCAAAAAAAAAAAGAAGCTGAACCTAACGTGATTGAATAATATTGAACGGGTTTTAGAAAACATTTTTTTTCACAATAATTATATTAACTTTGGTGGTCTCTTAGCTGAGAGCGCGACAAAAGCATTTAAGGAAAGAAAGAGTAATCATGCCAAGAACGGGTACGTTCACATGTTTAATAAATGGAATAGCTTGAAGCAAAAGCGTGCGTATAAATACCAAAAAAATTAAGCATGGAATCAAATATAAATATTGAAATTTAATAGCACTACTTTCCATAAAATCCAGTTGAAAGTAGCTTAATTTGATTATAGGCGAGATGCTTAAAATTCTTAAACCGTCTTAAAATTTGACCTGAGAAATTGGCGCGCGTGTCTGAGAAGTTTCAAGATTTAAGAATTTTTGATTTGCTAAAAAAACATTGCAGCCAAGTTCTCTCAATAACCAAAGATCAAGAATTGTAAATTGGATTTCCATTTCGCGGTTTTCAAAATAAACGTAAATAAAGCGCATTCGAAATATTTTTTTTCGTGAAATTCCTACATGACTCAAACGACGCGAGTAATTTTCGACCAATTTCTTTGCCACATGTTGGACGGTGTCTAGGCCTTAACTGGACGAAGTGCTCCAGAGTTAATATTTATCCGTATAAACAGAATCTTTCACGAAGCGCTGCAAACGCATATCCAACGGTGTCTAATTGCATGTACTCGGTAACCAATTGACATCGCCGAGACGAGAAATTACGCGGCTGGTAATAAAGCCCAATCACCCCTCCGGATGAGTGCAGCAGTAATGACATTTCTTGGGTGTAAAGAACACTCTTCAAATATGTGATGATTCTCGGTAGCCTAAATTAGACATTTACGTATACCTGAAAAAAAGAGAGAAAAGTGATTCGTTGCTGAAGAAAATTTGGTTTGACAAATCTCTATCCACTGTTTGTTGCACCAAGTCAACGTATTTACGGTGTTGTGTTTGGTCAGCTGGCTTCAGTGGTTGTATGAGCTGAACTTTATCTGGGTGTAGGTATAAGTCCACTTTTAAACGTTTAGAAATATTCACATTCCGGTCTTCGGCTACACTATCACTTACAGTAGCGGTATTTGGGGCGGAACGAGGAAAACTATGATGAACAAATCTGACAATATCTGTTACCGATTCAGTCTGTTAAATTTTTTTTTTTAAATTTACCAATTTCTCGAGTAGTTGAACGATTATGAGCATCATAATCTCCACTTAAAGCACGAAACTTGGTCACGTTTGGGCGGTTGTTAAGCGATATATTTTCTTAAGTGTCTGACTTTTAACTAAAACAAAGTAAAACCTGTATTTTTAAACCACAAAATGGGTTATCCTATAAATAATTATATATACTCATATGTATACACCCTGTAGGGAATAATACTAGTTGTTAACTAGAATCCAACTGGCTTGTATTTTTTACACGACCAAGTCCGACTATGCATCAGTTTTATACTAGTTAAATACTAGCTCATTTATGCCTATCGAATTTCTACTTCAACGAAAAAATAAAGAGAAAAATGTGTTTTCTTGCAGCGAAATTCGCACCGTGAAACTCACGCGCTGCAGCGATAACGTCTAGCCAATCGTCTATCGTGAGGATAATGTCTCGAACGTCATTTTATGCACTTCAACAGAGCCTTACTGAGAATGGAACTCAATCGTGGTGTGGTAGATTAAGCAACAACATACGGGGCTGGAAGTTATAATTACTCCCGATACTGATGAGCTTCTACACAAATGACCAACTGATATGAGTTCAAAATACTGCTTTTTAACTACAAGTTTTGCATACTAATCTGCCTTATCTCTGCAGGGTATGTACATATTTATATATATAAGTATATATTATATATAATATTAGTAGATCATTACAGTCACTCTGTCTGAAACGGTTGACAACGAGCTCTGAAATAATTCACGCTAACGAATCAAGTGTGGCCGTTATGACGCAAGCTTGGCATTTGTGCGGAACTTAAGACAAATAACAGTGCAGTAAAAAATGGCTGAAGTCAACAAATAATTGTCTTCTAGTTTTTGAGTTGATCAGAATTTCAAAGGTTGGCAAACGACAGATGAAAAAAAGAATATTTAGAAATATACAAATATTCATTTATATATGTAACCACATATTGTTTATCTTTATAAAAAATATTTAATGTTTTCGGGCGGAAAACAAAATTATAACTGTGTTTGACAACTGCCACCAGCATTTAGCTTGTCACCTGGCGACATTTCCGTTGGTCATCAGTCATCGCATGTCGGCTAAGTTGCATTTTGCGTCCGTCAATCTTGGCGCAAAGCGAATGGCACTTTTTTGCGAATGTGTGCGTACAGCAATAACGCACAATTTAATGACCAATCAAGTATGAGTATATGCATACATACGAACACATTTGCATATGAATATGTAAAACCTGTCATTTCGGCGGTTCAACGGTTCAATGGTCCAACGGTCCATTAGGGCAACATAAAAAAAATGTGAAAAACATCATAAAAACGCTGAACATAATATTGCCAACAGCATCAATAGCATAAACAACACAAAAAAAACAACAATAACAACAATTATGATATGAATAAATAAAATGAAACAACAAATCATATAGTCGCTGACTTGCAGATCATTTTAACCTTGACACTCACTTTTTCTCCGACCACCACCATTTGCTAGCGATCAATGCTGTTGTTGTATACAAACAACAATAATAAAATATCCAAAAATAAATATAAAAACGTACCAAAAATCAACTGATCTGTTTTGCTTTATTTTTATTTTTTATTTTTGATTTTTGATTTTTATTTCCTCTGCGGCATCTCATGCTACCAACACAGTATTTCGGCGAGATTTAATTGTTGTTGGCCGGTCATTTGCCATTAACGCGTTCTCGTTTTCGGTTTCAACTTGAGCTTCAACTTCATTATTTTAATTTCTAGGTGAAAAAATATTTGATTTTTTATTTTTAGTTTTTTTTGGAATATATTTTTTTTTTTTGGTGAACATTTTTCTACTTCTAATCACAAGCACGCTCGTCTTCTTTCTAAGCCAAGACGGAAGGTGAGCATCAGTCTGCGGTATAATCGAAAGCGCTGCGGACGTGGCCTTAGCATAGCTCTTGATATCTCTCGTCGGTATGTTTGTTATTGTTGGTGTTGTTTAAATTAAATTTAACTTATGAAGCTTAATGTTGTGATGTTTGCGTGTTAAGAAAAAATATTTTTAAAAACAAGTATATACTGTAAATGCTCAAATATAAAATATAATTTTCTATAAGAAGTTTTTGTGCAATTATGAGAGTATCAAAGGACATCTGCAATTACATCCGGGTTTTAAAAATTTTAGTACAATTTTTTTGCGCTTGAAGGAGCTGGATTCTTGATTAAAAAATTTTTTTTTTTAATAATTTTTTAATGCTTTTACTTATTTTAATATATAACATAGCAATTTAGAATAATTAAAAAGTGAAAAAATATTTTTAATTCTAATTTTTCATATTCAGATTCAAATTTCAAATTTTTGCTAGAAAAATATTTTCTTACTATTTATATCATATACAAGTACGTAAAAATCCGAGACTTAAATAATAAACTCTCCAGTGCAATTCCCTTCAATACACGATTAACACATATACATATATCTACATCACCTTAAAGTGCGCTTGCGCACAAGATCCTCAACGACACTTCATCGCAATCATTTTGAATAAATCACGATGTCGTCGTTGACAATACTCTGATGCATACAAATAGCGCTTTTTTGCAAAGGAAAAAAATAATAATAATGTGAATTAAATATATTTAATTAATATTCTTTTTTATTATAATTTTATATTTTTTGTAGTAAATAAAACAACGATTATGGGCACTCGAAAGTGTTAATCGAAATACGTGAATAAATTCAAAAATAAAATAAAAGTGCTTTATGCATAAATCGCTAGCTAAAAGTGCCATATTACATAAGCTTTCTCATTCGCTGGCGAGAAAAATATTTTAAATAAAATGTGGTTGAAAGTGTTTAGCATAGCCGTGTTGGCGCTTTTTACGGGCACGTGTGCATCGAATATGGATAAATATGAAGGGTAAGCTGAAGAAATAAACACTAAAAGTTTAGTAGTATATAATGTATGACGTACTACAATTAAAAAAAAAATAAATAAAATAAAATAAAAAATAAAATAAAATAAAATAAAATAAAATAAAATAAAATAAAATAAAATAAAAAAATAAAATAAAATATTATAAAACAAAAAAAAAAGGAAAATGAAAAAAAAAACAAAATAAAATTCTTGATTCAAATAAATTTTGTATATATGCATACTCTTTTTGCGTTTAACTAATTTTTGTTTAGGAAACAAGGCATGAAATTTCTTTTATTAGCAATATTTTTATTACATTTGTAAACGCATTTGATTCAAACGCGCTCTAATTCTCAATTAATCCGCATTATAATTGCCGGCCTTGCTCTATGTGGGGGGCCAAAAATATCTCAACAAATACCGTTGAACACTAAAGACTTAAGACACGAACTCGCTGCTGGAAATACATATTTCACATGCCTTTGACCGAGTTAATGAAACGTTAACGTATTTTAATATTTAAAAGTTTATATTTTCGATTTTTTTTGAGCTGAATAAATTATGAACGCATTAAATGCATTGCAAAATTTCGTATTTTTGGCACAGCATGATTGTAAATTCTACTTATGTTATTTAGTTAGCTCACTGATCACATTCGCTATGCTTACGAAAGAAAGGCTTTATTTAAAAAAAAAGCTACAAGTTGGTTATAATAAAATATAAACAACAGGAGTTTACTACTTTTTGCTATTAATTTTCTTACATAAATTTGTTTCCCCTTTTCAGCTTTTTCACGTTGTTTTTTGTTTTTTTTTGTCTAATTGATCAGTAATTTTATTCGAAAGTTAATTGAAATTTTTTTTTTGCTCTGTAGGTTTTATTTCTTTGTTATTTTTTTATTCATTTGTATCGAAGTAAATAAAATCAATGTTTACATATTTTTACATAAATATCTACATAAGAAGTTTTTTTTCGTAAAATCTGCTTTTCATGTGCATTTATGTGCATTGTTATTGCTTTTATTACTCTTTGTGCAAAGTATTTATAGCCAAAGATTTTATATGCTTACTCACCGGCTATCAGCTGGCAGTTAAATACTCAACAATTAATAGTTGTAAACAATTATTCCAACACCTTAAAGTGCATATCAGATATTTATGTATTTTTTATGTATCTATTCGACAGACGTTGGTTGCTGTAGTTAACCGTCTTTGTAAGAAATTACAATAATTTCAAATGAAATTTTTAAGAGCTTTTTAAGTGTTTAAGCTTCGTAAGGGAGTAATTCTGCTCCGTCATTGTTTATTTTTTCTGTTTTTATTTGCGGACAAGAATCAGTGGACACTTTAGTTTTCTCTCTTTGAGTCGAGAAGTTAAGAAAATTTGAGAAAGCGTTTCTTTTCCACACAATTACAGATGGAAATAGACTTATGTTCCAGATGATTATGATAAAATATGATCAGTTCGGTTCAAAATTAATTTTAAAAATCTTAATTTATATAAATCTTAAAGAATTAATTTTTTGTTTTTTCCTTCCTTTTACTTTGTTTGTTTTTTATTGTTTTTATTAGAAGTTTGCTTGTTGCGTCTGGAACTTTTGACTCATTTTTGACAAACTTTTTACTTTCTTTCCTATAAATTTTTTTATAATATAATTATAGTTATATAAGTTAGAATACTGGATATTTTTAGATATTTCTTCATGTTAAATAAAATATTTGCATTTTTTGAATTTTTCTAAAATTTGATTCCACAATTTTTTTCCAGCCCACAGGCTTAACTTTCAACCACTTTTTTTCTGAATATTTTCTTCCAAGGCGTTATTTCTCTTCTCAGATTTTTATCCTTAAACAAGCGACTTTACTTAACCCCGCAAAAATTCCAGCGCTATAAGTCAACGACGCGAACTCATGACCTCATCAAAAGTTTCCTTCAATAAATGGATTGTTTCGTTTACTGTACAGCATGAAGCGCCGTCTTGTTGATATCAAAGGTCGCCCATATAAACTCCCTCCAAGTCGGACACAAAAAAATCAAAAGTCATAGCTCTGCCAAGTCCCTTGCTTTCGAAGAAATTTGGATCAATGATTACCTGTGCCCATAGAACACACCAAAAAGGATGTAACGGCCTCACGTACCCATTGAACCCAAAGTGAATTTCCTCGCTGATGAGAAAATCGCGAGCGATGGTCACTTCATTATGAATTTCTGCACTGAACGTGCGACCCACTTGATGGTCGTTTGGCTTTAATTCTTGCACGAATTGGATTTTGTAAAGATGTGAGTAGCTAAGAATGCTCATTATTTGAGGCCGATCCTTGGTTGTTCGAATTACTGACTCTGCTAAGCGATTATGAAGACCAACTGCATCATTGAAAGCCACACGTCTCTTCCGAGCATCTTCTCCAGTTTGTGGTGACTGAACGTCTTGACATGCTCGGAGGGCTTAAAACTCCATGCTGAGGAGAGACCGTAATTTCAAAAAAACTAATTTTCGCTAATTTTGGATGTTTAGTCACACCAGGTCGAACCGTGTTCTTCCGAATGTTAATATGCAATGCCAAACACTTGGCTATTGCGGCCGCTTGACGGATGGAATTCTAAAAACCCAATTTAAATTGATCAGCTGAAGAGTAATAAAATTAAATACCGTTATTAATTCAATAACTAGTGGACTCACTTTATAATCAAGTTCGCTACTTATCTATGTAAATTAACATTTAGCATACTAATAAAAGTATGTATGTACATCCATTCTCATTTAAGTGCCAACGGAAGTTATTTTAAATATTTTTATCTCTTATCTCTATTAATCTGCATGCAGATACCAGTTTCATCTGATCTAAAAACAGACAGAAATTTAAATGTTTTTATATTTTTCTCTATGTCATACATAAAGTGATTAGAATTGCGTGTCCTTGACGACACGAGTAAGCGATTGCGCTACGCTAACGGTTCAAAAACGGAAGTAAAATAGTTTGGTCGTTTATCATTTTGTGTTATACATATAATTAAATAATTTGGACTTTTAAAAGAAGTGGTATAATTTGGCATATTATCTACTGGTCTGCATATATTTTATAACATTCTACATAAATTTTCATATATTTCAACAAAACTTTACATTAGATGTAGTAAAAAGAAATCCATTATTTTTTCTAGTATATGGCGTTATTTATCTGTATCTCGCGTTGTATAGGTTCGATTGGGTTACGCTAGATGACATTAGAAAGGTGTTATTTCGTAATAAAAAAGCTCTTCTGACAGTTTTGTGATTGGCTGATTTAGTTTTGTTTGAGCGTGTGTCAAAGATGGACACTAGCAAAGAGAGAATACGTTATATTTTACGGTTTTTCTTCGATAAGGGCGAAAGCGCAAGCCAGATGGCTGAATGTGTTTATGGGCTTGATCTAATACAGTTAATCATGCACAATTTGTCGGAAATGTCGATAAAACCATTAACATTCTCGAGGCTGAGCACTGTTTAGATAGCCCATGAGCTAAGGATTGCACAAAAAATCATTTGGAACAATTCGAATAAGGCTGGATACGAAAAGTAGAAACTAAGGCCCTCAGCTCCATGCAAAAATATTGGATTCCTTTTTACTACACCTGGTACATGTATTTCCATATTACATAGGAATCAGCTTAAATGCTTAGTTAGTTTTATTCCTAACGACATGTAACGAAACCTGCTGCAAGAGATTTTTTTTTGAATTATGTAAAATAAATATTCAACTTAATTAAATGAACTAGTATTACATTGGTATGAAACTGAGTTATAACTGGACTATTAACATTATGTCGAACATTGCCTTGCAAAAAATACCAGTAATTCCGCCATGTTGATCATGCAAATTGAACTAGTTAGAGCAGAGATTGGAACTAGTATAATTCTGTTTAGCAACAACTAAAGGGTGTTTGTTTTATGGACAAGTGGTATTCAATGATTCAATATTACATATACAGTTTTCAAACGCATTGGTTTCTATTGAATGCATTTCGATTTTATCACCATAAAGCTTTTCTGATGGCCTAATTTATGTTTAATAGAAAAAAATTAACAAAAATATTCTGCCTATTTAAATCACTTTTACCCCATTGTGCGCCGTACAGGACGCAGTGAAGATGCTATTCCTGCTGTGGGGCTGAGTATCGAAGAAGACCCGAATGAGTCTATTCACTTTTTCCGAAAAGACCTTGGTCTCTTGGCTGAGATTTTTTCAATCCGAAATCATTTTTAAAATATCATGGTAAACACTTACTTTTAGAACTTTTTAATAAAAATTGTAAGCGTTTTATTTCTCTCAAAAATCATATAGCTAAAAACACCCCCTCTCTACACATCCAAGTGTATAAGTAATTGATTTTAATGTATCTGGGATTGATTGGCACCACAATAGGCTTTAAATAGATTCTTCAGTGCATTTATTTGGCCCACACCGATGGTACGATGACTAATTTACATACAAAGGAATGCGAAGCTGACATATATAAACTAAAAAGTAAAAAAAAATCATTTAAATAAATTATTTATGTTAAATACTCATACATAGAGACTGTTTAAGCCTCTTTAATTAAATAAATTTTCTATTTAATTTATTTTAAAATGTAGTCTGCGGCCATTAACGAGTCTTGATGTCTTTATTGGCGCCAACATTGACAGTTACAAGTGTCTGGAGGGCACTCTTTTTAAGGCTGTCTGAATTTTTCGAAAAATGCCGCGGACATTTCGCTTTTTAACCTACAGTAGGTAGGTAAGTAGGTGGGTTTTGTACTTGCTTATACCTGTTTTGTTACTGAAAAATTTATTTTGAAAAACAATAATGAATTGGTGTATAAACAAATTAAATAAAATGAAATATCGAAGACAGACAAAATGCTAATTAGGAATTTGAATCTGCGTATACGAGGCATATGCAGTAAGTAAGTATACTGAGTTTTTGTAGGTTTTAAATTTATTCATTTAAACAACAAACGTGATACTAGTACAATATATATATTTTTCGTCTTAATAACCATTTTTACCTATGCAGGTGTTGAGTCGGGGTATCAATTTTTTGATGCCTTCCTTCGGCCAACATCTTTCTACACTCAGTTCAACACCTTCGTCTTTACCTTTTCCATGCCACCCATATGCAGCTACAGGGAGGTAAAAACATAGTAGTCTGAAATTACTAGACCGTAGCAATGCGTGGAATGTTACAGTGCAAACCATTTAAACTAGGCGGGCCATTCCATAGTTCGTGTAGACTGGCATTGTCGTGCAGCAGGCAGACTTCTCTTATCAGCATGTACCTCTTGTACTGAATTGCCCACCCCATTTTTTTTAGTGTCTCATAGTATCTCAAGCGGATGTTTTCCGATCCCAAAAAGATAATGGAAGACACCGCTTTATTCATATTTGGCGGGAGACTGGTTTGAAATTGTTCACGAAACTGTTTGTCAGCGCAGAAATAGAGTCCCTCCGATTGTGAGCGCACCAGTATACCTACTTTATGGATATGCCTCGTATGTAAATATTTATAATATTTACATATAATATACCACAAATATGCCACAAGAAATAAAATATATATATAATATATTTAACTGTGTGTGTGAATTTATTGCATACAATAAAACTGTGCACAGCTGTTCACACCAGCAATGTCCGCATTGCACTTGACATTACCGGTAAAAATATATATAAATTAGATATAAATTTTATTGTTTTTTTTTTTGTATGCTTCATTATGCATTTTTTATACGCTTGTGTAATTATTTATCACAACTCTGCTAATATTAACAATAGCTACCTACATACATATATACAATTTCGAAATTCGTGTTGCTACTGCTGCAACAATTGATGACTTTATTATACCCGTTCATGGGCTTATGGTGGTGAGTAGACAGGTGTTGACGGTGTCATTTGTTTAACTGTACATGCGGGCATTACGCATTTCATTTTGTGTGTGCGAAGATTTGTCTGGGCAATTGTTTTGAAATTATCACCGTCTTTACTTGCTTTGTTGTGAATTTTTTGAGATTAATTTTTTTTTTGCATTTTTTATATATATTTTTTGAATGTGTTTCTTGACAGCTTGTCGGTGTGGCTTTAAGTGTAACATATAACAAATAAATTTTTTATGTTAATGATTTTATTACATTTATTTCGGCCACATCTGGCAGCTTAGCAGGTTTTAAAATCAAATTTTTTTCTTCTGTCAATTTTTTGACGGCCCAAAAATTATTTTCTAATTTCGTCTGACATAAATATGCAATATTGAATACAGTTTCATGCATTTAAAAGATATTATTCTTTTTGCATATAGACAACTATAATATATACCCAGTATAATAGGGTTGCCTCACATTTTTTTACAATTCTTTACATTTTTTAATTGTATAAAAATCTTTAATCAATTATATATGTATGTAATTTCCATTTTGTTCGATGACGTTTTGCCATCTTTCATTATTCCACGTTCTTAGAGCTCCTAACCTTTATCTGCGCTTTGTAACAGCTGAAGCGAGGGGTGGACATTCCCTGTCGAAGGGCGACCGCAATTTAAAAATTTTAACTTAATTTTTTATTTAAATTAATTTTCCATAGCTTTTGGATGTTGGTGGCATCGGGATATGAACCCGTGATGATAAAAAAAGCAAAACACGTTCCGAAAATTGTCCGGGTTTCCTTACAGAAGTTTTCGGGAACAGACAAAACTAGTGTATGACCCAAAAATGTAATCTAGTGACTAGTACCCAGCTATACACAATTTCTAGAGGGAAAACATCTTCAACCTGATGAATGGCAGTGCAAACAGAATACCAGAAAATAGACGAGCCTTATTTCCCAATCAATGACTATGGTACAGATGTTATATTGCACGACTATGGAGAGATTCGAATGTCGATGCAGGCGGTTGAAAGTCGCTCCAAGTGAGATCGGGCTTTTTTCAGTTGGAGTTTTATCTTCAAAGGCTTTGAAATTTAGAGCCGTGGATTACGCTCGAGATAATTATAAGTGTTGTGCTTTAAAGAAGTGAGAATGGTCGTGGGATACCAGTTTAGCTGTGTACAAAGTCTATAAATTTCCGCTATGGACGCCAGTACCGAATTATTTCTTGAATATTATATATATATATTAACTCTTAATAGTTTTGACAAAAAATTCGTCTAAAGTCCTTAGAGACTATACATTTTTGTTCTTGGACCCTGTTTTTTGTAGTTTAACATTTGCAATTTGAAGCCCTTAAAATAAGGTTTTGGTCACATTTTTTTTGTTTTTGTAGAACTAAAGCTCAACTTAGAGATTTCCGTTTAAATTATGCCTTCATTTCTAATTTAGTTTTTAAGGATGACATTGCAGTAAATTTTAATATTAAATTTTATTTTATTTTTTCCTCATCTTCATGTAGCTACAACAAATACACAGTCTTCCATGATGGTGAGGATGCGTTCAACTATATGGTGGAATTACAAACGGAGTCCACAGAACTCGATTTTTGGCTGCTGACACGTAATATGTCCATAGTGACAGTCTCACCCAAAGAGCAAAATGCCTTTGAAAGCCGTCTAACCGAGCTGAATGCGCAATATGTGGCTAAGCCGCTGATGGAGGAGATGTCTGCCTACAACGAAACACTCCCGACTTGCGATGGTGCCGAATGCACGTTGAAGCGAACACGACGACAGGCGCGCGGTTTCTTTTCGCACTTTCCGCGTTACTCAGAGGTGTGTCGGAAAGAAAAAAAATTGTAATTTACAAATAAATAATCAAAATTTATTTATACATCCTAGATTCTAAATTACATGAGCGCGCTGGCTGCACGCCATCCACAGAATTGCCGTTACGAATCATTGGGTCGCTCATACGAAGGTCGCCATCTCGCTGCGCTCTCTATCTCGCTGAACAGTCGTGGTCGTGATCGTCGCGTGGCTTACATACAAGCAGCCACACATGGACGCGAGTGGATTACACCACTAACTGTACTTTACTTGGCTAACGAGCTGCTGAACAATTTGCGCGCCTTCCAAAGGGTTTTGCAAGATGTGGAAATTTACTTGGTACCCTTGGTTAATCCAGATGGTTACGAGTACTCGTTCACGAGTGTGAGTTGAAGGCGTAGAGATTATGAAGGACTGTGTGATATGATTAAATTGTGTTTTTTTTTCTTTACTAGGATCGCTTTTGGCGCAAAAATCGTCATCGCTATGCTAGCCGTTCGTGCTTTGGTGTGGACATTAATCGTAACTTCCCCAACAATTGGAATTATCATGGCGCCAGTCAAAATGTATGCTCACCTTAAGCATTGAGGTGCTAAAAACTTTTAGATAATTACCAATACTTTTCACTACTCACAGCTCTGCTCTGAGGTCTACTCCGGCACTGGTCCGAATTCTGAGCCGGAAACAGCGGCTGTCGCACGTTACTTGGAGTACAACCGTCATCGTGTGAAACTCAGTCTGGATGTGCACTCTTTTGGAAAATACTTGTTCTATCCTTACGGTTATTCGAGGTAAGCAAATTGTGCGCTGGGTATACAGTTTCTGCAGCTCCTTGATTGGTATCTGTATCTTCATTTAATATGATATTTTCACTCATTAATGTTTTTCAATTAACAAACTCTCTCCGCAGAAATGCTGTCGCACCCACACGCAATCTCTTGCATTCGGTTGCTCAACGCGCAGCCAATCAAATCGCGAAATATCGCGGCACGCATTACACCATCGGCACCTCGGCTGGCTTACTGTATGAGGCTTCTGGCGGTTTGGACGATTATGCTTACGGCAATTTGGGCATCCCCATGTCCTTCACGGTCGAATTGCCTGGTGAGAATTTCCAAGTGGCGCCATCTGATATTATTCACGTTTGCAAGGAGACATTTGCTGGTTTCATCGAATTCATTCGGCACGTTAGTTTGTATTAGCGCAGAGACGGGGGAGGGTCTGCTTGAACTGTTCTAGCGTTGAATGTTAATTACTTAAGTAAAGCAATTTTTTTTTTGTGTGTGTTAATTAGTATATTTAAGTAGCAATTGTGTGTACAATTTAATTTAAATAATAAAAATGAGATTTTAAATCAAAGAGATGGTAGTGTGAGCCTTTTGATTTAAGTTATTTTGTGGAGTATCTGAGAAGGTAAGTAAGTGGGTAAAAGGGAAACTGGAAAACATATATTAATAAAAGAAAGTATAGTTAAATTAAAACCAAAAAATAAACAATAAATGTGAAAAATCTCTTATGGTTCTATAAAATATCTGATGAGTTCATTGGTAAAAATATTGAGAGCATCCTAGAGAGAAGTTTTCAGCGAAGGGTTTTTTGATCTCTTCTTGGATTCGTTTATACCCGTAGCAGTTCGAAATCCCCATTATATAGTCTAAAATGAGGCAAACTCATTTGATGTTAAGATTCAGTGAGAGAAACAAATTGAGGACGAATCGGTCAACGAGACAAAACTTTTCATTATCTGGCCTAACCACGCTGCTTACCACCCACGCTGACCGAGACTTCTTATTTTCCATCACACAGCCATTAACAGTTATGAAAACTTAACTGAAAAGCTTTCTAATGTTAACAATAGCAAAAAGCTCTCTCCAAAAACTGTGACTTTACATAACTGTTAAGTTAACAGAAATTATAGTGTTAAATTATTATGGCAAACATTTAAAAGTGCTGGCAAATTTATTTCATATGAAACTATAACAGAAATTTATTTTAAATGAAAAATATTTTTTTCATTAAAATATATTTCTTGGAATATCAAGTTAATTTAAAAAAAAACATTCAAATATTTATTTTTCAAAAGGAAAAGTAGGTATATATGTATATATAAGCCTCGGTTTGTGATAAAAAATTATGGAAGCTTTTAGCATGAAGAAATGTGTCTTTTAGTTTTTTTTTTAATTTATCGTTACTATACACGAGAAATGAAGACTGTAAAACAACAAAAGGTGAAAAAGCATTCAAAAGGTTTCGTTGATTTAAGCGTTTAAGATTAGATTATGTATGCATTAATTCGTGCGGTCTTCTAAGAGAGGGCTCTACTAGTTGTATTTCGCGTAGTGTTCATCTGTGGCTATATTCATTTCAAAGGTACTGTCATTTCGCGTCGTGTTTTCGGTAGATATAATTTGTTTTAGCGTGAACAACGAGTTGCTTCATTCATTTGAAAATGTTTTCGATAAGGTGTTTTTGCGGGGAGCTCTTCTTCATCACTTTAAAATGAAGAAAAGTGCTACTGAAAGCCATCGTGCCAAAAGTGGTTTGCACGGTCGAAAAGTGACAATTCCGGCTTAGATGACGGAGAGCCAAAAAAATTTCAAGTCGAAGAATTTGAGACATTGCTCGACGCAGATGCATGCCAGATGCAAAAAGAACTTGCAAAAGTATTAGAAGTTGATCAAGTAACCGTTTTAAGATGATTAAAATCCTTAGGATTCATCTAGAAGCTTGGAAATTGGGTGCCTTATGAATTAAAGCCAAGGGACGTCGAACGTCGATTCTGCATGTCGGAAATGTTGCTTCAACGTCACCAAAAGAAGAACTTTTTGCATCGGATTGCCACTGGCGATGAAAAATTGCTTCATTTTGATAACCCAAAGTGCAAGAGATCGTATGTGAAGCTCCGCTAACCATCGACATCCACGGCAAAGCCGAATATTCATGGTGCCAAAGTTAAGCTATGTATTTGGTGGGACCACACGTATTATGAGCTATTGAAATCAGGCCAGAAGATCAATGTGGGCCTTTACCGAAAACAATTGATTCATTTGAAAAGGGCCATCGGGGAAACACGACCATAATATGCGATCAGACACGAATCAATAATTTTTCATCATGACAACGCTCGGCCACATGTTGAAAAGCCAGCTAAAAACTATTTGGAAAACTGTGGGTGGGAAGTTCTGCCTCACCCGGCTTACAGCCCAGACATAGCACCTTCCGATTACCACTTGTTCAGATCAATGCAGAATGCCCTCACCGGAGTACGCTTCATTTCACAACAGGGTGTCAGAAATTGGCTTGATTCTTTCTTGACCTCCAAGCCGGAGAAGTTATTTTGGGATGGGATCCACAAAACAGAAAGATGAGCAAACATCGTAGCTTCCGATGGACAATACTTTGAACATTAAATGTAAAAAAAACCGCGCAAATTAATGCATACACCCAATATAAAATAATCGCTTGATCAATAGAATAAAAAAAATTAAACGTTGAAGATGACGAACTCCGTATCACATCAAAAACCATCGAAAATAAAGAAGAAGTGATAAGTGAAGAAGGAAATTAATACCAACGATCAGCGAATAAGAACTATAGCAGTCGCTGATGATGTTGACTTGTAGAAACATAGAAATATAGAAAGGTTTACAATGTTTTATGTATGAAATGTGTGACAGCAAAACATATTCTACTAAGTGACGAAACAAAGATTCACGGTTATGACGTCGAATATGAGGCTCACTCAGAGCAGTGAATTCTGTTTTTCGTTTTTAATGAAAAAAATATGGAGAACCACCAAGTGGCGCAGTACAAGTTTGAGGGGAAGCGCCAATTATATTACGTATAGTAAGGTTTTGTTTGGTTTTGGTTTTTTTGTGCAATTTTTAGCTTTTAGGAAATCGAAACAGTGGTTACATAACAGTCGGACTCGGCAATGTCCATGATTTTATCGACATTTTCGATCATTTTTTTTAACATCACAATTACTGGAATGAAACCGAAATTGTGCATGATTGACTGTATTAGCTCAAGCCCATGAACACATTCAGCCATCTGGCTTGCGTTTTCGCCCTTGTCGAAGAAAAACCGTAAAATATAGCGTATTTTCTCTTTGCTAGTGTCCATCTTTGACACACGCTCAAACAAAACTGAACCAACCAATCACAAAACTGTCAGTAATGTTTTTTTTATATGAAATGTCATCTTTCTAACGCCATCTAGGGGAACCCAATCGGACTTATACAACGCGTGATACGAATAAATAACGCCAACAATTCGAAAAATAATGGATTTCTTTTTACTACATATACGGAGATATCATTTTCGTAAAATCGTTGAACCAATAAATATTGAATGAAATTAAAAATAAATAAAAATATTTAAAATATGTTTCATTTAATTACTCGTGTCCAATAATTATTTTTTAATCTTATTTATATGCTGACCACAATTTAATTATCGTTTTGCTTTATTTGCTCAGTACTAGACTTGCCATGCGAGTGAAGTACTTATCGTTCCATTGAACAACGAGATAAGGCGAAGAATAGTTTGATTAGTTAGTGCCAATATTAGCATTATTGGATTTTTACAATGTTGTTGAGGGTAATTACGCATGTAGACATATATACAATACATACATCGTCATTATTCTTTTTCTTCTTCCTCTTAGCGGCCGCGGTAGCTGAGTGGTTAGCATTGCGCACTGCTATTCGGAAGGCTCGGGTTCAAGTCTTGGTGTTCTACTAACATCCAAAAATTTATAGAAAATTAATTTAAATAAAAAATTAAGCTAAATTTTCTGATTGCAGTCGCGCCTTGGCAGGGAATGTCAACCCCTCCTTTCTGAAAACAGGCTCCTCATAAAAAAAAACATCAGCCGTTAGGAGGCGGCTTAATATAAAATGTAGGCCCCTCCGTTTGTTGGGAAAACATCAAGATGCAAAACCACAAATCCGAGTGGGAGCTCGGTCGAAAATCACTTAGGCGATTACGAAGCGCCAATTATTATATAAGTCTCCCACTTCCTCTGCTTCTACCAGTGGGTAGTGTATGGAATACTTCCATCCTTTCTTTTTTTTCGCTATCCAATATCATTGTCGCTGGTTATTGCACAGAGCTCATTATGCCAAACCTTTTCTCCCGAAGGCTTCCTGGTTCAGTTAATCGGATATCGACATTGTCCAGGCTTCTGCACCATACACGTACGACGGTAATGATCTAAAGTAGTACCTGAGGGCAAAAGTTACTCTGCGTTGGATTTCCAGACATCTTATGAGGACATCAACTAAATGGGCAGCGGCACCTTCGTAATTAAGGGCCCGCACATAATAGATGCATGCCCTTCAGTCGTGATCCTTAAAATCTTTACGTCATTAGAGCCGACAAACAATAGACAGCGGAAGACCAGTCTAAAGTACTTAAATTTGGCAAATAATTAATGATATGAAGTGGTGAGTTTGGTGGGCCGGCTCGGTTGATAAGGTACCGGTATCAGTTAAAATAAAATTATCACATATGTACATATGTATATACATAATAAAACCAAATAAAAGATTTGCAATAAATCAGCAAAAGAGAGTTTGGTCATTTAGTCGTTCAAAAGAGTTTGCCTGATTGGGTCGTTTTAAAAATGCCAAGGGAAGTTTTGCACATTTTGGTGCTTTTGTGTGTAGTTCTCGGACTCGCCAGCGCTGGCAGATATGAAGAGTAAGTCAAAGTTAAAGTTTTTGGCACTGGAGTTTTGCGAGAGTTATCGGTTTATCATATTTTTCAGTTATAAACTATATGAAGTTAAGCCCGAGACAGTTGCACAGAGAGATGCACTGCACGCTATCGCCGAGGAGTCGAGCGATAAATACGATTTCCTGTCTCTGAGTCGTATTCACACACAAAGTGCTCGAGTGCTGGTGCCACCAAAGCATGATGTCAGTTTTAGAGTTCAATTGGAAAGTCAACAGATACCGTTTGAGTTGCGGGATGCAAATTTCGGACGCACCATACATGCCGAAGTACTCCAAAACCGCATGCTTCGTCAATCGAAGCCATACAGCGGCACCGGACGTCTGGGCACCGAACGTTATTACTCACACGATGAAATCAATGCGTACCTAGACGACTTGGCTGCGCGTTATCCATCGCGTGTATTTGTCAGAGTGGTTGGCAAGTCATATGAAGGCCGCCTGTTAAAAACGATTACTATTACAAATGGCGACGGCATCACCGGCAAGAATGTGGTCTTCATGGATGGCGCTTTCCACGCACGCGAATGGATCTCACCCGCGACTGTGGTGTATATAATTGGCGAGCTGGTTGAGAACTTCGACGAGCATGCTGAGCTTTTAGCCACCTACGATTGGGTTATAATGCCGGTGGTGAATGCTGATGGCTATGAGTATACACAACTGTCGAGTGATACACGCTTGTGGCGTAAAACCCGCCAACCCGTTACCGTTAATAACACTGTGTGCTATGGCACCGATCCGAATCGTAATTTCGATTTCCACTGGATGGAAAAGGGTGCTTCATCGAATCCTTGCTCAAATACTTATGCTGGACCTAGGGCATTCTCTGAGCCCGAAGCGGTTGTGGTACGTGATGTTATGCACTCGTTAAGCGGACGTGGTATTATGTATTTGACAATACATTCATATGGTTATGCGCTCTTCTATCCGTGGGGCTGGGGACCGTAAGTTGAAACCGCTTCCTATTTCCATGTAGCAAAAGTTTTGAAATATTTTTGCATTCTTTTTTAACACGCAGTGAACTGCCCGACACCTGGGAGGATCTACATGAAGTGGCAGCTATTGGCGCTGATGCCATACGCAGTTACAGTGGCACTGAATATGAGGTAGGCTCGTCTACGGCTTTGTATGGTGAAGCTGCTGGCGCTAGCGATGATTATGCTTTCAACGAAGGTTTTGCTCTATCCTATACTATGGAGCTACCTTCCGGCGGTAGTAGCGGCTTCGATCCACCACCAACTGAAATTGATCGCCTGGTCAAGGAGACATGGGTGGGCATACGTGCAATGGGTAAACGGGTAACAACCAAGTATCCATCACCAGTGACTAAGACAGTTGTGTAGAACTATACAGCGATAATACGAGTACTAGACCTTACCGAAAATATCATAAATATCTAATGAGGTTGTGTGTAATGCTTTGAAATTCTTATCGCTAATTTTATTTCATTCAATTAAAATATTTATACTTACTGGAATGCATACAAACGTCATTCAAAGCTTATTTATGTAGCGGTGAAGTTTACGGCCTTAAACTTCGTAGTAAGCAGCAGGTTACTGATTATGTGGGCTCTTTTGCGGAAATTAAATGCTGCCGTTGGTTTGAGGCCTCCAGTAGCGAGTGAATAACTGTGCGTGTTGGGAATTTCGCCGGCGTTTCGTTCGATCGATCGTTCGGTACGAACTATTTCGCACATCTGCCTCATAAACGAAGCGATTGCTTTACCAGCCGTTTCTACATCAACCGGGCGGTCAAAGAAGCGATATCCTGGGTATTTATGTATTGCAATGTTAAGGGCTGGACAGCAAAGGAGGTAGTGCTCAACGGACTCTTCCTCTTCTTCGTCTCTGTAGCTACGACAAAAGTGATTTCATTCTCCTAATGTGATGTCCCGTCTAACAGTGTCATTTAATAAGCGCGTTCTTGAATTAATGATGAACCGATCTAGGTAGTTTAGGTAATTTAAGCTTTTAGGGTCCTGCGCAGGCCAAAGCTGTCTAGTCAAGTTGCAGGTTCTTCCGCTGTTGGCTATTTTCTTTCCTATTTGCTGTTGGCTGTTTTCGTGAAATCCAGCTTCTCTCGCTGCCTCATCCACCACGCAGTTGTCTGTGATATCTCTATATACGGGCATCTAGACCACAAATGTATGGCATCTAACTGAGAGCTTGTTTAAAGTGCTTCTATATTTCAACGCCAATTTTGATGTGGTGTAATTACATTGTAGAGGTCCGATGTCAGCTTAGCTATCCAAGTACGTACTGATTGATAGGTTCGTACTCAGTAAAGCTGAGCAGTCACCGCATCTTGATCCTCGCTCAGGTCTCTAAAGGCTGCAGCCCCGAGAGACTTCAACCTACTCTTCCAAAGTGTGTAGCATTCGCAGAGAATGTGCCTTATGGTTTCAGGTCCTTCTTCTTTTCTGCAATGTAGAATGTACCCTGTAAGGAGACCTATAACTGCAGATATCTCCTTTTTTAAACTCGATAAAGTTCGTGACCTTCTTCCAATCCATTCTGGCCATAATATGGCCACAATACAAGTATTGAGACTTCTCCATCTTATGTTAGCATTATTAGCTAAGAAGTGGAGAGCGGCATGTCCAAAGAGGCAGGGAAGTTCTTGAAAGTTCGTCTGCCATCTTGTTACCCGGCATGTTACTGTGTTCAGGTACCCATATCAGGTTCAGGGAAGTCCTCTACGGTTTTAGATTTTACTGTTACAGACTCCAGAGCTCGTAATGCAGCCAGACCGATCGAAAAAATATGGATACGACTATATGAGAGCACCATTGAGCTGAGACAATTGACTGCCTCATGTAGAGCCACAAATTCCGCTTGAAAACCACTACAGTGATCTGGAAAGCGGAACGACACCAAGATCCTTTGAATAAACTGCGCCACCAATCCTTTTATCCAGTTTCGACTCGTGCGTATAAAAATGAATCAAGCAGGCGCTTGTTGGTATTATCCTGTTGCACAGGTTTCTAACCAGGATAACCACATAGAAATCTGTCGTGAAGTCGGTGAATGATATGCAGTAATCCGTTTTATCTGGAAGACTGAATCTTCTTAAGATGTAAACCAAGGGTATATTACTATCCATTTAGACACCTTTTGTAGCCTTACCGTGATGCAAGCAATATCATGTCAATGGGGAGTAGATCTAAGAATACATTCATAGCCTCTGTTGGTGTGGTACGAAGTGCTTCGCTGATGTACAGAACCCGCCGCCCTGTGTACTCTATCAAATTCGGAGATAATTGATTTTTTCTAGCCACCAGACTACAATCCCACCCCCGACATGTCCCATTTTCGGTCTATATGTGGATCTAGTAAGAATTCGAGCCATGACCCTTTGCACGCCTTGCGGTCGATGCTAGCTGTATAGTCCAGGGTAATAGAGGTTTCGATAGAAAATCTCATTGAAAGTTGAGAATGATCTCGGCTGATTTGAAGCACTTCCGCTATAATTAGTTATTATTCATCAAGAATGCCTCTAAATTTTAAATCTTCTATAAATTCCTTTGCTTTATAGTAATAGTGAAGGTTAAAATATGTTAGACGTAATTGGTTGGTAACCCATATATAATGCAACCCTGTCAAAATACATTGATCACCTCATAGCTAAAGCATATATTTGCCTATAGAGAGCGCTATGATCGTCGGAAGTCAAATTGGAAAAAAAAATCTACTATCAACAATACGTTGTTTAGACTGTGATAACTGGCCTGATTGTGATAACAGTGGTGGCTCATGACACTACCAAAAAAAAATTATTTATTTATGCAGATATTGCTGGGAAAAGAAAGAAATTCCAAATAGACAAACTCTTTTGGAGATTTAACTAGGACTCGATTTCGAAAATCTTTCTTATAGCTAAGAGCTCTTTGGATAAATCTTAGAATCTACTTGAAGAACGCTTTGCCAAAAAGTACGAGAAATTGATCTTTTGAAAAGTTCGCTTAAGAGATTTCTGGGAATTCTCTTTGTAGAGTTGGCCCAACTATTCCCTATACTGGAATTGTGTTCCAATTTGATCTGTCGCTTAATGCAGAGTGCTTGATTTTGTAATATCTGCCTAACAGGCGGCTTACCGTACAAAAATCGGATAACTTATCCCGGATGAGTTTTCAGCTGTACCTGGTGTTCAGCAAGGCAGACACCCAGGTAGAAATCCTCACCAGAAAGTCAGACGATAAATTGAGAATGCGGTGGAAATTCGTCGAAAAGGGACAGATGTGTAGAAAGAAAACTAATGGATTTCGCCTCACTATAACGCGCCTGTTCGAAAATTCAACAAATGTCAAACAACAGCTGCCGCCTGATATGGCTCCCGATCACTTCGAAGCACCCGTCTTTACTCCGTAGAAGACATAAGAAAAAGCAATTTTCCAACAATGGAGGGACAACCAAGCCACCTCCGGACGGCTGATGATTTTTTTATAAAGAGCTTTTATTTCATATCAGACATAAACTCGAAGGGCATGGCATTCCTTCCCCATAATAAATATTTGCTCTTTGTTAATCAATTAACGGGACTTTTTTGATAGTATGAATACACCTTGGAACAAAATAGTTGGTTGAAGAGTAGGTAAAGAGTTCTTTTTTTCATTGTTTAGTTAATCGTTAAAAAAACAACTTGAATTGGCAAACAAAGTGGCAAAAAGCTTAAGCCGGGTTCTCTATTTTTCCATTCTTTGAGATTTCTTTCAGCTAATCCCAGTTCTGGCTAAACTAAAAAACTTGCTTGCGCAATTTTTAATTTTTATTTTTATTTTCTAAACTCAAAAATAAACTCATGTTCATACTCTAATATTTCTGTTCCACTTTCTCCGCCATAGCTTTGATGCCCAGCCATGTCTCGCGAACCAATTCTTCAATTTTAGATGGTGCTGGATTGAAACCATTACCAGCTGCGGGCAATTCCATTGTAATTGAAATGGGAATACCAGCCGCAGCAAAGGCGTAATCATCGCTACCACCAGCAGCGGCATAAAGAACATTTGTTGAGCTGCCAACGGTGTAATCGGTACCAGTGCCTGATTTGATAGCTGCAGCGCCGGCTTGAGCAACCTCATCAATATCCTCCCAGGTATCAGGAAGCGCACTGAAAGGAAGTACCTATCATTGGTTTTCAGTTCTACTTTCACCCCAAAAACTTTATACTCACGAAGTGTAGCCCCAGGGATAGAGCAGATAATTGCCGTAGGAATGCAGAGTGAGGTAGAACTTCGCACGTCCAGTTAGCGAATGCATCAGATCGCGCAGAGCTTGTGTTTCGGGCTCGGAAAAGGCAGAAGCACCCTTATATGTATCAGAACAAGCCGAACTAGAAGCACCCACTTCACCCCAATGGAAATCAAAGTTACGATTAGCATCCGTGCCGACACAACTTTTACTTGCTGGTTTACGTGTCTTACGCCACATGCGTGTATTGGTGTGCGTGTATTCATAACCATCAGGATTGACTACGGGTAAAATTACCCAATCGTATGTCTCTAATAAATGTGAGTTTTCCTCGAAATTCTCAACCAATTGCTGGATCACATAAAGAGCACCGGCGGGCGCTATCCATTCGCGAGCGTGTATACCAGCGTCGAGTAGAATCACTTTTTTGTTTGTATTACCATCGCCATTGGTGATTGTGATCGTGCGTAGAGCAAGACCTCCATATGATTTACCGATCGTTTTCAAATTAACACGGCTTGGGTAATTTTCGGCCAATTGATCGAGATAGCTATTGATGGCATCATAACGTTGGTAGGCGCTGAAAGAGATGCTGCTTCTTGAAGAGCTGCGTAGATTGCGGAAAAAGTTGTTTTGCATGCGTTCCTCGGCAACGGTCTCACCGAAATTCTCGTTTACCACTTCGTATGGCAGTTGTGCTGCCTGCAAAGTTTGCTCAAATTCCGCTTGCTGCTCTGGTTGGACCAAAACGCGTGCAGAGAGACCTAGTACGCGTGGCAGGGTGAAGAAATCATAGACGTCATTCTGCGCTAAACGCGCTAAGAGCTCTTGATGCACAGTATTCTCGGGTTTAATATCGTACACTTTATGGCTGTGGTCAGAGAATTTTCAATTTTTATTTGATTTTATACATTTTTTTGTACTTTCGCTATCTCACTTACCCCTCATAGCTGGTGAATTCAGCAGAGGTTGCAATGCAACAGAATGCTGCTAATACAACGAATTTAAAGTACATTTTCGTGCCGATACTCTTCAGTTTTTCAACACAAAATATTTTACGACACCGCCAATCTTAAGGAAATCGAAAAGACCAATTAAATTTCTACGCCGTTTCAGTTTGCTTTTATAGTGCTGAGGAAATGTATTCGCCCATGTACTAAATTTTCGATTAGAACAATATTTACTTCTACTCATGTACAGTAGTAATAGTGGTTAAATGAAATTTGGCCGCATTTCTCTGTCTACAAGCGGGGCCCCCACATATTTAATATACTTTGGTCGTTTCTAAATGCCGATAAAAACTTACAGTAGACATTCCCTTTAGCGCAGGGTTTCGTTAATTAACTCTGAAGTGGACAAATAGCTTTGGAACATGCTTTCTTCTGCTGCAAACCCACACCCAATCAGCTGGTAGTCGTACACACACTCACTCAGCACTAACGGCCTTCTCATTTACGTAGGTACATATGTTGACATTAATTTACAAGCTTGAATTTTCCAACACACTTTTGTTAGTAGTCGCAATATTCTGTTATCTTTCAATGTTTTGATATTGTTAACCGTTAACTATACGTTAGAATTGTTGTGATACTTTCATAAATGCAATTCACTCATTTTTTATTCAACGACATCAAGTTAGTCGTATGTCTGGTGATTGATATATTATTTCGTTTCTTTTGGATTTTTATCAACTGTTAAAGGTTGCTCTAAATGGAATCTGAAGTGGCAGGCAGTATTTTGCGTGAAAATTTACGATGCTTCTTCGGAAGTTCAAATCAGTGCTCAAATAATTGCAACTATAAATAACGTATTAAAAAATTTTGAAACCGATAATGCAAATCTGTGTTAATTTACAATATGCTCGTGTATGTCGGTGGTATAACCCTGTTTGGACATAAGGAAAATTCTTTTCGCATGAGCGATGTTTTCGAAATTATGCTTGTGACTTCACTAATTTTTTTTTATCTTTTTATCTGAAGTCTCGGGTAATAGGTAGCCAGCTTGACGGTACTTTGCGATAATTCTCTATAATCTAGAAGCATAGACAGAATTGGTATGGAACTCCTCCTCTGTTAGATAGCCAGCAAGGTTTCGGACAGTGTAACTTTCTAAACTGTAACTTCTTCAATTTAGTACAGCAGAAATACTTGTATACGTGATGACGTCATCTATAACAATAATCGTACCGTAAGATCAACTTTCTTGAATTTGGATAAAGAAGCTAAGCAACTAGTTCTGGTGAGTGACGAAGCAGTCAAAATATCCCCTGCCATCAAATAAACAGTCTGCGAGTCAGTAGCGTAATTGCTGACAGTCATAATTTCGAAGTTGTAGATTTGTAATTTCGTCTTTCTAGGAAACAGCATAAACGCAAATAACCTTTCTAGAAAGCCAACGTCGAATCACTCTTAATAATAGATTCCACTTTGGACTGAGTAGGCATTTGAAAAGTTAAGCACTCTCTTTCGAACAGAGACCATTTTATCATTCTCAAAAGCTTTTGCCAAAAACTCGTGAACCATTGTGACGAAAAAACAATTACCTATACAAGTTACACGGCTATTGTTATAGTTGACGAATAAAGAAAGTCTCTCGAATGGATGAAAGCAATTTAGCTTTGAAAGTTTTCGGTGGAGTAAGTCCAAAGAGAAGTAAAATAAAAGGAAGACCCACATTTGGAAGGATCCTGGTGTTACTTTGTATTTCGGCTTGAAGCCAAATAACGAAAGGAAAATAGTGCGCTTAACAACCGCACAACGTGATAAAATTGTTCGAACCCTCTGCGAAAATGATGATTTAAGCGTGTCCACATTTTGTGCTTTAAGAGGAGACTATGGTGGTAGCGACGAGGCAATTTTCTCAACTGGCGAAAAAGTAAATGAACTAAATTGTCGCATTTGGGCCGCGAGGAGACTCAAATAATTGAAGAGATATCGTTATATAATCGGCACTTTGTAATAACCGAAGCAATTTTCCTCCCAACACCTCCGACTCCGAACGCCTGATAGGTTTTTCATGAAGAGCATTTATTATTTTTTATTTTAAATTAATTTTTTACAATTTTTGCACGCTGGTCATACCACGCGTCTTCTCGGCTCACAAAAACTAACTGTCTGGTGCGCTCTTGGATCCGGTAGTGCGATTGGACTTTATTTCCGTCAATTCGGAGCATTGAGATCGTATAGAAACGACGTGGACAACATGTGGTTTCAACATGTCACGCAACACGACCGAACGCGCCTTTAGTGCGAGAGGAATTTTTCGGTCACGTTGTCTCCCACCGAGAGCGTACGGTTTGAAACCGTTGAATTTTTTTTATGTGACTCTTGAGCACTTGAAAACTATCATTCGTCACGCTCTAGCTGAGATATCGTCAAAATATGTGCCACAAATTGTTCGAAAATTACATTCATTTTCGAAACCGCAAATGACTATCCCTGTTTTAGTGGTCTCTGAACTCACGGAGAAAACCAATCCAAAAACTCTCTTTATTAAAAATGCCAGTCTCTTTCTCTCTAAGCCAACAGATCCTGAATCGAGAATTAATAAGTACTAATTTATAGAATAAACAGTAATTATACATACATATAATGAAAAATGTCAAATTCAATTCCAAACCAACTAAAAAAAATTATGAATATTTTTTAATTAAACCAAGCTCTTATGATTAGCATTGTCATTGTTTGCCGAAATTATTTGCATAAAATGTGGGTTAAATATGTAAGTACTAATTACTGCCATGACTAAAAAAGTTTCGTGCTGGCACACACACGCACGCACATCCACACTGCATACAAAAAATTTCCATACGCATACAAAATGTGCCCTGGATTGTCTTTTCTCTTTCGCGCTCTCTCTCTCTCTCCTTCACTCTGTAATCATAGTTAGGCAAATGACAAGTGAACAATAGGCTAGCAAAAATATTTATGGCAAAACTTTTTTAACATTTCAATAAGAAAATATAAAAATATTTTACACGCTTAAATCAAAAGAGAAGGAAGGAGCTTGATTCATTATGCTCGTTGAGTGTTTTTTTAGTTTCTCTAAATATGAAAATTAATCTAAATACAAACAAAATATAGTAAGTTTATGGGTGTGTGCTTGCAAAGGATGCGTAAATAGTAAAAGACTTACTCCAACTTCTGATTGCGGCTTAAAAATAGTAAAAAAAATATTTACTTACTCGTTTATTCATTAGTTGGATCCTTCACTTTTCCAAAACCTAAAAAATAGAAGTTAATATTATAATTAGCATAGTAAAGTGGAATAATTGTCATATGTAAAAATTAGAAAAGGAGAATAATAAGTACAACAATAGAAGGAGTACGCCAAACTAGCCAAGGCAAAGGACTCCAAATCCATCCACCACAACGCAATAGGCTGGCTTCATCGAAAGCAGGCTCCCTTACCCCTACGATAGTAGGAATAAGGTAGAGTGGTCCCGCTACCACAGAAACACGACAACCATTTTTTACAAAAGCAGATACATTTGAGACCCTTCCGCTCCCGTTATTTAGCCAACAGCATATCCAAGCAGAACAACAGTGTGTACAAGTATGCCAATGGTTCATGGTTTGTTCAAAAATAAAGTGCCCCAACCTTTCATACTACTCTACTACACAACATCACCGGTGAAACAAACGACTGAATGTCAAAATAGACAACATAGAAATACTTCTTTTAAACAATCCAAAGTACGGGGGTAGAAGGTGCCATTCCTGCAATGTTTCATTGTCAACGAAGTACAGAGTCATAACGAAACCCACAATTAACTGGACCCGGCCTGCTACCCCCTAAAGCAGACGTAGAGCCCAAGGTATCTCGCAATGCTCGAGTGTTCCTAGCACAACTGAGGTTGGAGGCTCCCTAAACTCTATCTATCTATGTGATATATCCTTTTAGTGGGCCCAATCAATCTAAACAACCTTTTTCCTGGACTTCGAGTTAGATGATCTCCAAAAATTAGTCGATCTCTGTTGTTTGTTTATCTGTTCCTAAGAGAGAGTAGCGACTCTGCAGCTACAGCAGTAACTGCAAAACCTACTGAACTAAAATGTCTAATATAAACCAAAAAAATAAAACAAAGAAAATAAAATAAATAAATTAAAATGAAATAAAATAAAATAAAATAAAATAAAATAAAATAAAATAAAATAAAATAAAATAAAATAAAATAAAATAAAATAAAATAAAATAAAATAAAACGAAATAAAATTAAATAAATTAAAATAAAACAAAATAAAATAAAAAAATATAGTAAAATAAAAAAAATTAATATGAAATAAAATTAAAATAAAATAAAATAGAATTAAATGAAATAAAGTAAACTAGAATAAAATAAAATCAGATATATATAAAAAAAAAATTAGAATAAATGCAAAAGGTGAAGGAATTTTGTGGGTTTATATGTTATTGATGTCCTCTCAAGTTTTGCTGACTTAAAATAAATTGGAACTAAATGAGGTTTTTCATTTATATGAAACAAAAAACATAAAGAGGCTATGGGAACTTCTCTGTCTAGTGTTATATAAAACAGAATATTAAAATGAAAAATTAAAAAAAAAACATGAAAGCAATAATATGACATAACCAAGCTGAAACGCTGAAAATACAATATATTATTTTATTTACTTATTTATTTATTTTTGCTATGCATATTCATTCGCATTTATACACATGTGTGCATTTATTCATAAAAAACTAGAGCAAAACTTCGAATTCTGTTTGCAGTCACGTGCAGTTGCAAACCATTTGTAAAAACTTTTTACCCTTTATTACTTATTTTGGTCGGCCGTTTGGTTAGTTGGTCGATTTGTTGACTTTTTGTTTGTTTTCGTTGGTTTTCGTTGTTTTTTTTTGTTTGTGCAATGACTAGTGCACTGCATTGAAAGCTTTGTTAGCAACGCCTGACGTTGCCTGCCACTTTGCCTGCCAAAGCCCATCGGTTTTCACATTTCGCATTTATCTGCTGATCGCCCTCACCTCTCTTTCTCTTCTAGAATGCGCTCTTCATAGTTGCTTTCAATTTGTTTGGTTCTTTGTTTTAAATTCACTACATTTTATACTCATAAATAGTTTTCAAAATAAAGTCAAACAATATAAAGC